GAGATTTGCGATCCATGCTCTACCGTGGTTCTGAGGTCATGCGTGAAGTCGCCTGGGTTATCTTTGATGAGATCCATTACATGAGAGACGCCGGTAAGTACCATGCTGCCTACGTTCACAAATTAGGCTATTTCATGCGAATGAAGCCATTCGATTCATTTTTACTGACATTATTCTACCTTGTAGCGCGTGGTGTTGTCTGGGAGGAGACCATCATTCTACTGCCACCAAAGTGTCACTATGTGTTCTTGTCCGCCACCATCCCCAACGCCATGGAGTTTGCAGAGTGGATTTGCAAGAACAAGGAACAGCCCTGCCACGTCGTTTATACCGACTTTCGTCCTACGCCATTGCAGCACTACCTGTTCCCTCAAGGGGGTGAGGGAATTCATCTGGTCGTCGATGAGAAGGGCAATTTCAGGGAGGACAACTTCCAGAGAGCATTGGGTGCCTTGACCGATTCACAAGGACCCCAAGCAGACGACCCAAGAGGACGAGGCGGCAAGAAGGATGCCAGGAAGGGAGCCAAAAAAGGAGCCAATTCCGGTATGATGAGAATTCATTCGCATGTCAATCTTACCTGCAGGAAACTACCACCGGCCTTTGAAGATACTTACGCTCTTTTGCTTCCTGCATTATTGCTGTGGTCATAGATGCGCCCTCCGATATTTACAAGATCATCAAGATGATTTTGGTCAAGAATTATCACCCGGTCATCGTTTTCAGCTTTAGCAAGAGGGAGTGCGAGGCATTGGCGTTGCAGATGAGCAAACTGGATTTCAATGACGAGAAGGAGAGCGATATGGTCAACCAAGTCTTTACAAACGCCATCAGCTCCCTGTCAGAGGACGACCGCACGCTACCACAGATCGAACACATCCTGCCCTTGCTACGTCGCGGAATCGGTATCCATCACGCCGGTCTGCTGCCCATTTTGAAGGAGGTCATCGAGATTTTATTCCAAGAGGGTCTTGTCAAGGTTCTATTCGCCACCGAGACTTTCTCGATCGGTTTGAACATGCCCGCCAAGACTGTCGTTTTCACGAGTGTTCGCAAGTGGGACGGAAAGGAGACACGTTGGGTTTCAGGAGGAGAATATATTCAGATGTCGGGCCGTGCCGGTCGTCGTGGTCTGGATGAGCGCGGTATCGTTATCATGATGTTGGACGAAAAGATGGAGCCTGCAGTGGCCAAGGGAATGGTTAAAGGAACTACGGACCCACTAAACTCGGCCTTCCACTTGTCCTACAACATGATTCTCAACCTAACGCGCGTGGAAGGAATTAGTCCCGAGTACATGCTGGAAAAATGCTTTTACCAGTTCCAGAACAACGCCAATATCCCTCAGCTGGAGCGAGAGCTGACTGCTTTGGAGGCGCAGAAGTCGTCAATGGCCTTTGAGAATGAGGGATTGGTTGCTTCGTATTACGATATTCGTCAACAGCTGGAGGGTCTTAGGAACGACGTCCGGGATGTTGTTAACCATCCAACCCATGCGCTTCCATACATGCAGCCCGGCCGTGTCGTCAAAGTGAGCTCTGGGGATCAGCATTTTGGATGGGGAATTGTTGTCGGATACAACAAGAAGATGCCCTCGATCATCCGTGGAGCACCCCCTCCAACCAACCTGGAGCCCACCTACATTCTGGATGTCCTTTTGTACTGTGCAACAGGCACACAGATCATCCCAGGATTAGATGGCCTCGCACCTGGCGTTAAAGCGTGCCCTCCAGGAGAGAAGGGAGAGCTGATGGTTGTGCCGGTCCTACTGTCGTGTTTGGATGCGATTGCGACGCCCCGTGTCTTTTTGCTTAAGGACCTGAGATCCAGCGATTCTCGCCATACGATCTACAAGAGTTTGGTGGAGTTGCAGAAGCGTTTTCCCGATGGCATTCCTCTCCTGGATCCGATCGAAAATATGAACATCAAAGATGAGGGCTTCAAGAAAGTGATGGGCAAGATCGAGGTTTTGGGACGCGCGATGGAGACACATCCTTTGGTCAAGGATATGTCCAAGGATGAGGTCGAGGAACTCTACTCACGCTATCTGGGGAAGGTTGCGGCGATGAACAAGATTAAGGCGATGAAGAAGCAGATTGTCGAGGCGAATGCGATCGCTCAGCTGGACGAGCTTAAGTGCCGAAAGAGAGTGCTGCGCCGATTGGGATACACCTCGAGCTCGGATGTGATTGAGATGAAGGGTCGTGTGGCATGTGAGATTTCTACGGGTGATGAGCTGTTGCTGACGGAGATGGTGTTCAACGGTGCATTTAACGACCTGACCGTGGAACAGACCGTGGCACTGCTAAGCTGCTTTGTCTTCCAAGAGAAAGCTGAGGGCAATGTTAAGCTACGAGAGGAATTGGCGACGCCATTAAGATTGATGCAGGAGGCAGCGCGAAGGATCGCCAAGGTGTCTCAAGAATGCAAGCTGACGCTGGATGAGGAGGAATACGTGCAGTCCTTCCGTGCGGAGCTAATGGATGTTGTCTACGCTTGGGCCAACGTAAGTGGAGTCTCGTAGTCCTGGGCATTACCGTTTTTAGATCTTTAAGATAATGATGACCGGAATGCCTTTTTGTTTATTAACGGAGTGCTGACAAATAACTCCTTATTTTCTTCATCGATGTTATCTAGGGTGCAAGATTCTCGCAAATCTGCAAGATGACAGATGTGTTTGAGGGATCGATCATTCGCGCGTTCAGACGCTTGGAGGAGCTGCTGCGCCAGATGGCATCAGCAGCAAAAAGTATTGGAAACACAGAGCTGGAGAGCAAGTTTGCGGCGGGTATTGTGTGTATCAAGCGCGATATCATCTTTGCCAACTCGCTTTATCTCTAGGTAGCAGGAGCCTTTCTTCTTCCGCTATTGATCTAATTAGTTTCATCATTCCTTTGCATATGTTTTTCGTTTTCTTATTACACCAACTTCTCAACCATGTACGCACACAAACAACAGATACCAATGGTTTATTTTTGGCGATCCGAAGGGCAAGGGTAGACTCTGCGTGGGTGAAGACTAAGCGAGACCATCGTATGTTTTGGACTGATAGACAACAATGCATTTCTGGTGGTTGTTATCAAAGCCTGGTGTGAAATGTGAGACAGATCGGGCGTATGTGAACATCCGTATCTGAACAAACAAAACAGAAAGCAGTGAGAACTAGCCGGGTCAATGAACACCCAATATATAATCCTACCCATCATTTTTCTTCTCCTTCTTTTCTGCTCCTCCATCCTTCCACGCATTACATCCACCTCCCTATTATCTCACGCCTTTATCCACACGCATCACACTCTCACCACTATGGCCATTAAAGTCGGTATCAACGGGTAAGCACCCTTCTTCTTTTCCTCACAAACAACGAGCGATGCATAGGACAGAAGCCTATGGTCCTGCGCATACTCCCTCCTATCTACAGAAACAGAGGGAGTAGCCACGTCTATCTTTTCCTATCTTGTTGTGGGCGCCATTGCATTCTCTCTCTCATACAGCGTCATACGCTGTCTATCCGCCCTTTCATTAAACCTTATTATTTAGTTTCGGACGCATCGGTCGTCTCGTTCTTCGTGCTGCTCTCCTCAACAAGAACATTGAGGTCGTCGCCGTCAACGATCCCTTCATCAACCTGGAGTACATGGTAAGCTGGTATACTATACTATAACCCCGTTCAACTCTGCTTGCTTAAAAGCAGAGGGTAGGGAAAGAACGAATGTGTTGGTGTTGCATTACGCTCGTTTCACGTCACAATTTTGTTTCATGCTAACGATCCCCATGGAACAAACGCGGGCTTGTAGGTCTACATGTTCAAGTACGACTCGACCCACGGTCGCTTCAAGGGCCACATTGAAGCCAAGGATGGTCACTTAGTCGTCGATGGCCACAAGATTGCCGTCTATGACAAGTAAGCAACACCGATTGAGAAAAAACATCAAATTGACCAAGCTGTGCATTAAATCGGATAAGAAGACTAACATCACGCGTTTCTTCCTATCTTACTATCTTCCCATCTTATTGACAGGAAAAACCCTGAAGAGATCCCATGGGGTTCGCAGGGCGCTGTCTACATTATCGAATCGACCGGTGTCTTCACGACTGTCGATAAGGCCTCTGCTCACTTGAAGGGCGGTGCAAAGAAGGTCATTATCTCTGCTCCTTCAGCTGATGCTCCCATGTTCGTCTGCGGAGTCAACCTGGATGCCTATAAAAGTGAATACAACATCGTCTCCAACGCTTCGTGCACGACCAACTGTTTGGCCCCTCTCGCCAAGGTCATCAACGACAACTTTGGCATCACTGAGGCCTTGATGACGACCGTCCACGCCACGACTGCGACCCAGAAGACCGTCGATGGTCCCTCGAACAAGGACTGGCGCGGTGGACGTAGCGCCAGCGCTAACATCATTCCTTCGTCAACTGGTGCCGCCAAGGCTGTCGGCAAGGTCATCCCTGAGTTGAATGGCAAGTTGACCGGTATGGCTTTCCGTGTCCCGACCCCTGATGTCTCTGTCGTCGATTTGACAGCCCGCTTAACCAAGCCTGCCTCATACGACCAGATCAAGGCTGCAATCAAGAAGGCTTGCGAGGGCCCGTTGAAGGGCATTATGGACTACACTGAGGACGAGGTTGTGTCGAGTGACTTTATCGGCGATACGCACTCGTCAATCTTTGATGCCAAAGCTGGCATTGCGCTGTCTGACACCTTTGTCAAGCTGGTTGCTTGGTACGATAACGAGTACGGCTACAGCACCCGCTGCGTCGAGCTGATCGAGTACATGGCCTCCAAGGACAAGTTCTAAACAAATCATCCGGTCATCTTCGTGCCATCGACCGAGAACTCCGTTATTCATACGATACTCTCTCGTTGTAAATATTGTACACGTTCCTACTGCTTCAGCCAAATTGAGAAGGAATCGACCATGGATAATAGGGTCTTCCTTCAGTCTCTAGCCCAAATAAACCCATCATGGAGTCGATTGTTTAAATATCGTAGACCCGTAGTATGCTTTAATTTTCCTTGATGGAACTCTTTGGCATCAAATCTTCTTGCGTTTGGTATTGGGTTCACATCTTTTTTATCAAATGGTCCGTGCTCAAAGAAGGGCAGCATCGAGTACCATTGTGCGCCTTTGTCTTCATAGAGCCCCATGGATATCGGCACCAGGTTGCATATGAAGACGATTTTTTTTTTTTTTTGTTTTATTACTATTTCCGATTTCTGATCGACTATGGTCGTCAATGGCATCCCCCTCCATCTTACACACGGATCGTCACAGCCTTTACGGTTAGGTACTCGCCCATGGCCTCGGCCCCTAGGTCCTTACCGAACCCACTTTGCTTTACACCGCCGAAGGGCAAGTGGACCGAGCACATGTTATAGCAATTCACCCAGGTGACACCCGTCTCGAGTTCTTGGATGCACTGCTCCGACTTGCTCAGATCCTTGGTCCATACACCTGAAGCCAATCCGTACGGCGTAGCATTCGCGCGTTCCAACGCCTCCTCGATGGTCTTGAAGGGCTTCATGACTGACAATACCGGGCCAAAGATCTCGTCTTTCGCAAGAGTCGATGTCTCATCCACGTCAGTAAAGACGGTCGGCTCGATAAAGTATCCCTTCTCGCCATGGCGATTTCCTCCGACCAGTAACTTTGACTTGCCCTCCTTCTTGGCGTTTTCAATAAAGCCCATCACTCTCTCGAACTGCACACGATCGACCATTGTGCCAAAGTCATAAGCCTCATCCAGCGTATCCCCGATCTTGACCTGCTTCACCCGATCCTTGAGCTTGCTCAAGAACTCGTCTTCGATCCCGCTCTCGAGGAACAATCTTGATCCAGCACAGCAATTCTGCCCCATGTTCGAAAAAATCGCTCCAAAGACGTCTTCGACAGCCTGATCCAAATCCGCGTCCTTAAAGACGATCAGCGGGCTCTTGCCTCCCAGCTCCAAAATCACAGACTTGAGATTGCTGTTCGCAGCGCCGCCCATGACCTTGCGTCCGACGTTACCCGATCCTGTGAAACTAACCTTGTGAATCCCCTTATGACTGACGATCGCCGACCCAACGTCCTCCCCTCCAGGCAAGACACTGAACACTCCTGCAGGCAGCTCTGTATGCTCCGCAATCAATTCTCCGAGCATCAACGACGACAGCGGTGTCTGTGGCGCGGGCTTGAGAATCACGGCGTTACCACAGGCGAGCGCGGGTGCGATCTTCCAAGCAGCCAGGTTGAGCGGATAGTTGAACGAGGTGATCAACCCGCAGATTCCCACGGGTTTACGGACCGTGTAGGATTTGTGTCCTCCTTCGGTTGCGAAATTCGAGCCAGAGATCTTGTCGGCGTGTCCGGCAAAGTAGCGGAAGCATTCGATGGATTCCTCGATATCGAACTTGGCCTCTTCGAGGGGTTTACCGCAGGCGGCCTCGAGGACTGTCATCTTCCAGAGGTTCTTCTCGAGCGCATGGGCGATGTCAAGGAGAGCATTGCGACGCTTCTTGCCGGAGAAGTGTTTCCAGGGTCCCTTGAGTGCGGCCTGGGCGGATTGGACGGCGAGGTCGACGTCTTCGGCGCTGGCTTCTTGTACGGTTTCGATGAGGTCTTCAGTGCAGGGGTTGAGGATTTGACGCTTGACGGGAGTGGAGGCGAGTGTGGGATGAAATTTGTTGTTGATAAAGGGGCCGACGAATCGGTTGAAGGATACGCTGCCCTTCGAGGTCTTGATGGAGAACATTGCGATGAGTAGAATGAATGAAGGAGTGAAGGAGCGGAGTGAATGACGAAGAAAAGGAGGTTAGGATGTCTTGTGTGAAAGTCAGCTAGAGGTTGAGCTAAGGGCTAATCGCACCTGGATTTCTTGAGCCTTCTGACACCACGTATTTGATCTGCATGAACAAAGTGCCGACTACATGACTACGGCCTATTACTGTCAATTGGCACCATCGCACCTTCAAGACTGAATAATGATTTTTTGTATGATTGATCCCATGATGCTGTGTGGCAGCCAAAGGTTTTTATTTCAAGACGTTGACACTGACAAACGGCAGCTTCGTAAACAAATATGATGGAGTAAATGCTGAAGTCCAGAAACCCACGAACACAAGAAAACCCTTAGCGGTAACGACGGAGCTGTTGTCAGGAACACAAAAAATAGAAATAAATATATGGTTAGCAAACAGTCGTTCAATCGCGCGCTGCAAAATCAAGTCTTCATTCCCGTGTGAGATACGTACGCTGAGGGTGTTACGTCTCTTCCAGTTGGCGCGGCGACCAGAGCCGATGGTCTTGTTGAAGCCGTGACCCTTGCCGTGTCCACGGTTCTTCTTGGTGGCCGAGGTCAAGCCACGGGCCTCACGGCGCTTGTGGACGGGGTTGACGATCCAGTTGATGCGAGCATCGCGGCGGATGGCCTTGTGGGAGGGATCGACCAAGATGACCTCAAAGTACTTGTAGGTTGAGTCCTGGTTGACCCAATAGGAGTTGAGAACGCGCAAGTTGCCGCACTTGCGGCCGACACGCTCCTCAGCAGTGGCCTGGAGCGAGCGCTGGTACTTGAGCTGGTTAACTCCGTGTCCGCCGGGCTTACCGAAGGTGGCACCCTTGGCAACGGGCTTTTTGCGACCACCACGGCGAACGCGGATACGGTAGATGACGTATCCCTGCTTGGCCTTGTAGCCGAGACGGCGAGCCTTGTCGGGGCGCGAGGGGCGCGAGGCACGGTGAATGACGTTCAACTGGCGGTACTCCCAGCAGCGGACGCGCAACAAAAAGCGCATGACATCCGACTGCTTCTTCTTGGCCAACTCCTCGAGATACTTGTAGGCTCCCATATTGTCTAGCAGTGGGTGTTGAGTGAGACAGTAGACATGTTTAGTTGGCTGTGGTCAAGCTTTTTTTGGTTGCTGAGAGGGAGATTTGTTGAAGCCTGGTTTCCCCCCTGGCGCCCTATCAAGTCGCCCCCCGTTTTCCTACGAGTTCCTGCCAGTGCTTTCTGAAGCACCGTCGTCCTAGAGTTTGACTGTCTCGATTGACTAGTACTGGTTTCGTTGACCATCTTTAAACGTCTGTTTGTTGGGTCTTGTTGCTTTATAGTGTCCTCATCGCTGATCAGTAGTTTGGATTCCATCTGTTCATCGTTTCGCTGTAATCACTGTTTAGTCTCAGTGCTGTCGCTGATCCTAAACTGAAAACTCTTCACAATGCTGACTGTATGATTGAAGAATAGGCTGTAGATAGGTTGGAGACACTGATCCCAAGCACTTGTTGTCTCGCTTGCCACTGGTTTGATGAAAAAAGTGCCGATGAGGACGAAAGGCCTCTGACATGGATTCCTGTCAACTCATGGTCCAAATGTCACAATGCTGTACGATGCTTCTAGTCTGTTCAGTTGGTCGGATTAGATGGATGCCTGGGGGTGCTGATCGATGTATTGATGGATGCTTAGTGTCAATCCATTCGCCCGTGCGCTGTACCTCTTTTTCGGTAAGTAGAAATAAAAAGGAACCTTCAATTGAGTCCGCTCAAGTGGATGGTGTTCACTCCAATTTTTTTTTTTGCTCCTGCAGTCACACATTTTGAGGAGAAGGCCCCTCTCGGGAAAGCAGCACAGCTCCGCCTCCCGCAACAATACGCCCTCCCCCTCCATTGGCATCTTTCTCAAACGCTTCCCATCCCAACCCCACTTCAAACACAGCAAGCCCCAGCTCCGAGACAATGCATTCGAAGCTCGACTTACACAAGCACATTTCCTGCGAGGATATCATTCTGCAGCTCGACCAGTGCCACACCGAAAACGTTTTGAACCGGTTCCTCGGTCGCTGCAACAGACTCAAACAGGCCATGAATGAGTGTCTACAGGCTGAGGTACATCAATGCTGCCAGTCATTTCTTATCCTTACTATCAATTACAAGCGTCGAAATTGCATGCGCTACTCACGCACTGTTCTACTCGTCTTGAATCATGTTTTGATCCTGTTTGTTGACGCGGGTTGCACAATGTTACTGTGTTAATACTGGATTTGTTTTCTTTCGCACAATAGTTCGATATCAACCGTAAGAAGCACTTTGAACAGGCAAAGGAAAAAAGAATGAAGGTCGAGGAGCGATGGAAGGACATGAAGGAGTAAAGTGGCATACGGCATATCCATTTTAGCACAGCACAGCTGCTTTCTAACAAACTCAATAAAATGTATCATCCATTGTCGATATTTTTTATGTTCTTTCCTTTGAAAATAGCGTCAGCGCAGTTCGAGCAAAGGGAGGGGCGACAATTTGGCGGCGCATCAAAAGTCACAAAATTATTTTTTAGACGTCGCCTCAAAACAAACCATCGCGCCTTTCATTCCTTTCACTCCCACCCCCACGCTCCTTTCACTGCTTTGCGACACCTCTATCGCCATGGCGCAGCTTTTGCAATTCTCGCAAGAAATCATGGCCGAGAACGACATGCCGAATTCGCTCCCAACCGAAACCGAAGGCGGTATTAAACCCTTCCTGAACCTGACTCGCGAGCAGTGCCATATTCTCCTGGCGCTCTACCACGTCGTCGACCCCGGTCTCGAGCCCAAGGTCCCTGTGCTGTTCCCAGAGATGGCGCGGAAGCTGCGCGAGGACCATGCAGAGCGCAATTCCATCCTTGCGAAGCTTGAGCGTGCGGATGAGGTCTATCAGAAGGAGTTTCTGAACCTTCGCGAGATCCAGAAAGCGGTCGCGGAGGCATTGTTGAAGTCAGACATGGACCAGGAAAAGGCGCGGAATTACCTCAAGATGAAGCCCAAGGACACACCGATGGAGAAACTGAAAATTCAGGAGATCTTGACGAACGGATTCTTGCTGGGCGGCGTACGTGATCAGTCGGCTGGAAATGATTCGGACGATAAGCAGGCGAAGGACGCGAAGAAGAAGGCATCACCGCTCTCGGCACCGGGATTCAGAGAGGCCAAGGCTTATTACGATTATGCGTTCGAAAAGTTCAAGTTCTCGATGGCGGCGGTGCAACTCGGCAACTTTTATGCAGTCGAGCACGAGGCCTGTGCGGGCGAGCATTGTATCGAGGGAGAGGATCCTGAGAAGGTCTCGATTGAGTACTACTTGAAAGCCGCAGAGTTGGGTAATCCCATGGCGATGCACAAGGCTGGATGGCACTATGATCGCAGGGGAGACTGGAATGAAGCCATAGCGTGGTACGTCAAGGCTGCAGATGAGGGTACGTATCTCCATTTCAAACTGATGATGATGAATGATGGGGGCATAGTCGTGGGAAGGATGCTAAAGCAGCACTAACATGAATTCTTATTGTTTGATTTAGGGTTCCCGGATGCGGCGCACAACTTGGGTATGATCTACCATGAGGGCAACCCCAAATCGACTCCTCCACTGCCCTTGGACCTCCCCAAGGCTATCCACTGGTATAACAAGGCTCTTCAAATCAAGTACGGTCCTTCGGGCACGCAGCTCGGCCGTATTTTCTTCAAGCTTGCGACTGACAAGTCCTTCCGCGAGAAGCTCCCATCCTCGGATCAGAACTACAGTCCGGATCCCAAGGAATACTTCCAGACCGCCATTTCCTATTTCGATCAGGCCAACCACATGCTCGAGGTAGAATCCATGCAGTTCCTGGGCATGATTTACGGGTCCAAGGATTTCGGACTCTATGACCTGGACAGGGCTCAGAACTTGTTCGAGCTGGCTTTGATGGTCTCAAATGGCGGACAGCAGTCGTTTGAGTACCTCAGTAGGACCCTGAATGCCAGGAGGGCGATCATCATGGACCATCAGGCGTCGCAAGATGGAGGGGAGAACAAGGTCGACCAGGCGGGCTTGAAGACCTGTGCAGCGAACGGTTGTGAAAAGAAGGAGTCTCAGGCGAACGAGTTTCAGAGATGCGCAGGATGTAAGAAGAGATACTACTGTTCGCGATTGTGCCAGGTCACCCACTGGAAGGAGGGGCACAAGAAAGCCTGCAAGAAATAAGCCGAACATGAGAATGATATTCGGTACGCTTCGAGCAGGATATGTTATACCTTCATGCATATTTCTCCTCAACCGACGACTCCTTCGCATTCCCTAGTAAACACACACATAGCGCATTCAGTTTCTTGCAACGATTCAAGAGAATGTAACCAAAATTGTATTTTATTTGGTCTATGAGGATGATGATGATGATGATGATGATGATAATAAAGATGACGATGGCGATGATGTTGATACAGGAGACGAATGGATCAGACCCAGAAGCTTGGCCGAAAGTGTTGTCACGTCAATCTCGATATCATCATCCAGTTCCTCATCGACATTGCCGCTCAACGGATCAAATACTGTCATCTTCTTCGAGGACGATACCAACGGAGAGCCCCCACCCAGATCATGATCATGCTCCTGTAACGACCGTTCTACAATAGCCCTGGAGCTCTGATGTCCTACGAACGCAAGAAGCTTCTGCCGACTCTCTTCCCGATCCCAGAATAATGAGCTTGTCTTCCAATCCGGTCGCGAATGGATCGTTTTCTGGATATGATCCACCTTTTCAAAGTCCCGTTTAAGGATATAGCCCAGAAGCATGATGTTGGCCGTGTACTCATCCGCATCCAGATCAATCATAATGAGACGAGATCGAAATCGTATACTACGAGATCGTAACCGGTCTTGATGGAGCCGCTGCTGTTCCTGCTGTGCCTGGATCATCTTGTCGAGCACGCGCTCCATTCCTTCGACATCTCCGCGTTCGACGTGTGCCAGCATTAATGCATGAAAGGTCCCTTTTCCTGGAACCATACTTTGTCCGCTCTGTGCGCCACCGCTGGAGTCGCTTCGGGGCCATCGCCCTTTGTCCTCCTCTATTTCTTGCTCCTGTTGCCCTTGTCTCTGGAAAGGACTCATGGCCTGCTTCTTGGACCTTCGGCCGTTCTCAAATGCGTCGCCAGGATGTGTCGATGACAACATCTGGTCCAAGATCGACTCTGCAGTTTTGAGTCTACCGTGATTCAGATTCGCAAAGAGCAGCGAGTTCAAGACGACCAAGTTGGGTTTGATGGGCGATGGGTCCCGTGCCATTTCCTTCATAGTCTCCTCTAGGTCCGGATAGCCGCCCTCTATATGTCCGAATCCATAGAACAATATGCTGAATGTCACCTCGTCCGGTGCAGTCCCAATCTCGCGCATATATTCCCGCAGCTCCTTAATCTTTTGGCGTTTTAATTGACGGGCCTTGGCATTCAAGTCTTTTGAGTCCACGTCCTGTTGACCATGCTCCAAAGTCGAATGCCCAGTAGTAGGGGTTGTGGAGGTGGGTTTGTCGAGGTACTGCAGCGCCTGGACATTGGACAACTGGAATACCGCGCGCAGCATCAGATTGCAGGTAAGTGCATTAGGTCGGATACTGTATTCCCGCAACATTCTAAAGATCCGTTCTGCGGCGGCAAAGTCTCTCCGGCGGGTATACTCTCTGCACATGACATGTAGCACTTGAACGTAGGGTTTTTTTTTGTGAATAATCATGTGGTCGAGCAGTAGCTCCGCTGCCTCCATGTCATTCTTGAAAGTCGACATGCCAACGATCAGCGAATGGTACGTTTCGAAAGTTGGGGTCCCACCCTTGCGTAAGAGATCGTAGAAGAGTTCCAGGGCTGCGTGCATCTGCGTTGTTCCATGGTTCCTGATTCCGGTGCCTGGATCCTTGGAGACATAGTAAGGGCGATGTTCCGAGTCCTGGAAGTTTCGTCCGACGAGGCCGCGAATAACGGCCGAATACATTTCCTTACCGACGCCCCCAGTATGGTCGCTGTCACTTTGATGATCGTTGTCCTGATAGTGTTCTGGTACATTGGCGGGTGACTTTTGGAAGCGTTGAAAGAGTTTGTTGGTCGTAATCATGTCGCCCCTGGATGAAAACGCGACGAGGAGGGCGATCCGGGAGTAATATGCAATCTTCAGGTTAAGAACCTGTTCGAAATAATGGTGGATCTGAAGGAGTCGTCGGGGATGAGATTGGTGTATGAAGCGTATCGTGTGGATTTTTTGAGTTGCTGCTATAGATATCGATGCTGATATCGATTCTGTTGCCGATTGTAATGCCGATGCTGATGAAGATACTGATGAAGATGCCGATGAAGATGCTGATGAAGATGCTGATAATGAAATTCCTGCTGCTGGTTCTGAGGACCCTGCTGACATGTCCGGTGCGTCCAGTTGTATTGCAAATCTGGATATCGGAAAAACTTCGCCCTTGCTCATCCGCTCCAACGGATATCTTTGGTGCACTGGCTCCGCTCCAGAATTAAACGCCCTGTAGATGGACTCTTGTCGCGCATGTCCCTGGTCCGCATTGCTCCAGATCGACCGCTGATCTTCCAGTGTCTCTGTACAGCTGATCTTCCAGAACTCGAGGTATAGATTGTCGATATCAAGACGCCTGACCAATTTATCGATTCGTCGTCGGATAGTATTAATGTGCCTGCGCCTCTCCTTGTTCGACATCGGTGGTGGTGGTGATGATGATAGTTCTGAGTGTGCCTTAACGGTTTTTACTTGGGCAATTCTAGGATAATGCTGAGGACTCACGGCAGTAATGGCTGCTGATGTTTGAGTCGCCACCCCGGCTGAGAGTAATCTGGAGGAACTCGCGAACCGTGAAGGCGCAACTGTGCCAGCGAGGAGAGCCTGAGAAGGCTGAGGATATACTCGTGGCAAAAGTGGCCATGGCAATATCGGCTTTGAGGGTGCAGCGAGCTTGAAGGAGCCTCTCCGAAGTCCATTGGCTGATCCACAATGACGGCATATATACATGATCATGAAAGAGATATCGGGCGTGCTGGTGTTTTATTGCGCCGAGGGCGCAAAAAATAAGAAAGGAAGGGGAGATCCCTTGCTTGCCATACAAAATGAATAAAGAAGGCGAGGATATGGAGCTCGATAGAGATAGAAATGTGGAGGTTGGGGAATGGATTTATTAAAAGAGTAGGTTGCGTTTCTGAGAAAAGAGCGAAGAGCGAAGGCCAAGGCGAGAGTTGTTCCTTCGGACCTGGACTTGGCTCATGAGCATAGTCAGGGTGTGGCTTGCAGCCAAAAATGGTAAACATCGCTGGCGGGAAACAGTCATAATAAGGTTTTTGACAAAACGCGGTCGAGCCAGCCAATCGATGGACGAGTAAAAAAAAGAAGCACTCTACTGCTCACAGTGCGCGGTGAAAAAAAAAAAAAAAAAAAAAGGACGCAAAAGAGGAGAGCCGGACAGGTCTCTTCATTCTTCACTTCTTCATCCTCTTCGTATCCCCTCGCCCCCATCTCCTTCCTCGCACAACCAAGAAAACCAATGGCTGACGCATCCGAAAGAAGGAAAAAGCTCGTGGCCCTGGCCGCCAAACGCTCAGGCGATGCCACCGCGCAGTACGTCCCTGAGGAATTGGATAATGACATCGCGTGCAGAATCAAATGTCTCCCAGGTCATCCCGGACCATCAGCTACAGAACTGAGCTGGAGACAGAGTCCTCCTTGGCTTGACAATCATATCGTCTGAAAACATGCTAAGCTCTAATTTTTTGCCTTATTTCGCCGTTTCTTTGTAGGCCGTCTTCGACCGCCAAAAAGCCCGAAAGTAAGAGCAAGTCGGCCTCCTCCTCCAAGCCGGCGTCAAAGTCAAAATTCCCTGGGAAAGGCCGCTCTTTGAAGGCCGATGGTACGTTTTTCATATTTGTTTCTTCGCCGCTAGTGTGAAACTTCATAAACATTTGGCGCAATATCTGTCTGTGATTGTTCTAATGCTGACGATATTTCTTCCTCTCTACTATACAGTCTCTGATGACGATGACATTATCGACGACGAAGAGGACGACGATGTTGAGAGCGAGAGTTCGGAGGAAGAGTTTTCGGATGTGGACTCCGATGGTTCGGACCGCCCCAAGTCCTCGAAGAAGAGAAAGAGCGCACCCGTGAAGAAATCGTCTCGCCGTTCACCGCCACCAAAGAAGAAGTCTAAGCCTTCGTCTTCTTCATCCTCTTCCAAGTCAAAATCGTCCAAGAAGAAGAAGAGAAAGGGATCGGATAGCGATGACGACGATGAGAGCGACAACTTTTCTGTAGCAAGTGAGTCTGAGCAGTCCGGTGGTAAGTGAGCACTTGGTGTACAGGCCAAAATATTCGCTCTCATGATGGAGCTGGAGGAAAAGGTCCCATTTTTGCTAACTTCTGCGCATCTTATGTAACTTCGTAGAGGAAGACAATGCGATTGATACGAGCAACATCATCAAAGGAGGCAGAAGGACACGAGGTACCAGGGTCGACTATTCCAAATTCGGCCCCGATAGGTCTTCGGACGAAGAGTAATACGTATATCGGCATCGACGTGACAGAATCATATCACAGCATAGCGATTGACTGAAGACAACAACATATTACAAGGAAACTACAGCTTTGAGTGAGGCACGACCAACATTACTCGACTCGATATTGAACTGATGCAACGGTGGAGGATGATTTTTCCACAATCTATGGTGTTTTTTTTTATTTATATATTTATTCAGCTTCAATTTTATGAATCCTTGGTACACGCTTGTATCGCGGTATCGAAGAAAGAAAGAAAAAAAGAATGTAATTGCACACTGAATACAATTCATCGTATTCTCCTTTAAACCCGTGGGTGCAGGGCATGGATTCCGCAGTCTGTACAAAGTATGGGAATGGGGATGGGCCAATTGATTTGAAACACAGAGACAGCTTCGCCCATGGTACATCTTCATTTAGGCATTCGACCATCGTACTTTGTCCTTTTTCAAAGCAGTTATATTTTTGTCTGCTGTCATCGCTATGTACAGGAAAGGAGACGGCTTGTGTGATATCTACCCTAGACTTGTGGCCGCATCCTTGCGAGTTGCGGGTTTAGTTGCAGCCCTGGCATTGCTGGCTACCGCAGTTGGCACATGCCTGACCCCCCTGACCCAGCTGACCTGGCTGGTTCTGCTGCTGCATTCCAAGGTTGGACTGGCCATAGAGACCCGAGGTGTTCTGGCCCTGAGCCTGGGCTTGACCTTGACCTTGCTGGTTGGGGTTGGTCTGACTGTTCATACCGGTGTTCAGGTCTTGTCCGGGTATCTTTTGAGCAACGGACTGGGCCTCGCCGGCGCCGCGTGCCATGTCCTGGGAGGCTTGGTTGGCGTATTTATTGAGACGTTCCATGCTGAGAAAAGGGAAGATTGTGGATGATGTGCTTTTGATTGTGAAGTTGTGCTAAAAGGTGAAGGATGTGGGGTGAGATTGAAGGATGTTGCCAAGGGGACGAGCTGCTTTTATATGCAAGCAAGTTGAGTAGGGTGTAAAGGATTGCTGGGCACATGGATAGAAAAAGCTAGATATGACGCGCTACTGACTTTAATTATGCCCTCGTAGACGTTTATTCCGGGGTTGATGGAGACCGTTTGACGCATATCATGCCGCATTGAAACAGACCCGCCAATGTTCCTCCAGCAGAAACTAAATCAGTGGGAAAAAGTGTCAACCAGCACTCTCATAGACTATTCAATTACTCTTCTCTGCATCCCAGCAACCAGCAGCAACGTGGTGTGTCTACACCATTATTGGTCATTCCAGTATCTAATAGCAGTGTAATCTCATCTTGCCGAGCCAGACCCATGGCTTGTCTTCAGCCTGCGACAGTCTATCTCCAACGATATCAGCTCGAGTCTACACGTTTAGGAGCGAGCGTACGTTTTTCCAAGGCGAATGAAAGTGGCTGCATAAGAGCAGAGGATACGAGCCAATGATACGCGTTGCGCACTTTAGTTTCTGCCCAGTGGGTGGAATAAAAAGGGCCGACCGCTTCTGAGACCCCAGACGAAAAGACAAACTAGCGACTTTTTCCGGCCATGCAGACGGCGGCAATATGTACGAAACCAGATACTGTACGTGTAAGGGCTTCATGCCCTAGCAAAATGTCTCGACCATTAGATAAACCATAGCTCACACTCGTCACATAGGCCAGCTCCGGTTTCATGCTGACTGCCTCTCTTCAGCATCTGGCATCAGAATCCGCTCATTCGTTTCATCGACATTTCCGTTGGGAATCACTGGTTCCTTTTCCCCATAGTCCCAATTGTCTGTGACCCATGCATTTTAATTTCCACTAGTAGCGCACTGGCCATCCTTTTTAAATTTTTTCCATCTTCGTGTTCTAACAAGGACAGTAGCTCCATTCCAAGAAGTGTCGGATTCCGCTCCCAAGCATTCGCTCTCATGCTTGCTATCTTTGACCTCTTCGCGACTGTCAGCAGCTCTCCAGCAGACTCTTTCTCAATATCGGCAGACGTGCACCGAATCACCGGCTTCAGGACCGAGTCTGCATCAAATCTCATGAATGCCATACCCAGCAACATCTTCCTCTCTCGACTTCGTCCTCATCCCCTGCATCTAGACGCTCACGAAAACGTCGCTTTTTTTTCCTGATGATTCGCAGCACCTTCCAACACCTACAGGAACTACATCAAATACAAAGCTTGACCGCTACAGCGCTGCAAGGCCCATGGCCGCTGACAACATTTCTGTAACACGCGTCCTGTTCTCTTTCCCTGTGCTACCAGCATTTTCGCGACCATTCGACTCTTTTACTCCCGTCACACCCGCTGCGCCCGCACTGACGCGATAGACACAAGTTTACCCCGCCCAGCCACGAAGCCACGACTCTTGACGGACTATGGGTACGAGAATTTTTGGAATCCCGGTATGCGGACATTGCGCTTGGCAATGCCTCTTTCACTCAATGTGGCGGATGGTCGAAGGGAAACAGAGATGACGAGAAAGGCGCTTTCAGTCATCCGGATGGCGGCACAGGATGTGGACGATCAAAAGGTTATTCCGAGCGTCAATATGTCCATTATAATCCAAGATAGCCAAGACCCAAGTTTGGAGACGGCTTCAAGTGGATCTGCAGCTATTTCTGTAGTAGGAAAGCTGATTAGCGCCAAGATATATCGCTTTACCGTGGAGTTACTGGTTATTACCGTCAGTACATTCCACTGGCAATCTGACAATGCCTGACGCGTTTCTCATTTCGAATATTGATCGGATTTAGGTGAGTGCGGTTATTAGAGATTTGCACTTGTGTCTAACGCGATACGAGATCCTGATGATATCGAGTGTTCTAATTTCACAATGCTTCTGTTTCCACAAGTGTTACCTGTTGGCGAAAACATTGAGCATATTTGTTGTCAAATTTGCAAATATACCCATAGTTTTTCCGCGCGATTCCCACTACGGTGGTACTACTGGATACAATGCTGAAATTGGCCCCAAAACTTGGTTGGAAGCGTATCCTGTTCATCTACGAGGTAGAGACATTGGGATGGTATGGTAAATATATGCTTCGGATAAAGGTTTCAAGGACTCGACATCATCATATTCATTGGAATTGTTCTTATGTCTAGGTCTAACGTATGTCGCGGACAAGGCAGAAGAACTGGGGATATATATTCTAGCGTTTTAGTCATAACGATTACAGGAATGTCGTTGGACCCGACATTTCAATTTGTGAAAAATATGATTGTCAGTTCAATCGCGCGTCCAGATGGTATTTTCCCCGTGGGCCACGCCAATACGAGCTCCTTCGTGAGATGGAATAAGATTGCGCGCTGATGCACGCCCTCTTAATTTTTCTTTATCATCAGGACATAAACTGCCTTTTGACTGCTGCTTTCACTTGGTCCTCCATCTCGAAATTCAGGATACTTTAGCCCTGAATATGCATAGATAGCGATGAACGGCATTTCTTCAGTGTTACAGCAGGAAACAAATGTTGCAGGATACGACGGCTTGATTATGGTTGAAGATGGATGGGAACTGACCGGATACGAGCCATATCAAACCTTTCTTTCGGGATGGCTGCGTCTCAATCCTCAAGAGTAAGTGGACGTCTCGATCATCAGCTTGAACATCATGTTGAATTCTACGCACTTCAAACCGCCACTAATTTGACGTGTACCATAGCTATCCTGGGGCAGGAAAATCGATACTGAAGGGCATTGAGGGGATGGCATACTCCTGCGTGGTAATGGTTGCTAAAGCATACGGAAGTCTGATCAGGAAGACTATTAGAGATCCAGATGATCGTGTGCCTTCCAATCCATCTATTCAAAGTATTATGGGTGGCGACCATACCAAAGATTCCGAGGTTGTGCAGATGTACCAGAACAATTCATACAAAGGACCGAACGTGTCGATTATTCTGGACGAAAATGGCGAGAAGGCGTAAGTTCGAGTTCACGATATTAATAAACTGAGCAGTAAAGATGCAATGGTACCGGTACTAAAGATTCTTTATATTACGCTTAAAATACCTACAGATTCTACACAATTATGAGTGTATTTCAAGGGTGATCTGCCTGGCGATGTCCCACCTGGAGCTGGTAGATCCTAACTTGTGCACTCCAAACGCTTAGTCGACTTTGGACCATCATCACTAACGCGCTTTCGCAAAAACAAATACTAGTTCAGAATCCACAATGGAGCAACGCAGCAGGAGCTGCCTTTGGAATTTTTTTGCATTATTGGCATGGTCTTGACATTAATCTCTCCGGTTCTTGTGGTCACTTTTCGGGGCCACATCGTTATCAAGACGGCAAGGTACTACTGTGGTTCGAACGCACTACCAGATGTACTCATACATATCCCTTTCTTTTATTAATTCCCAACGTTTTGAGTTTATGAACTTTGGCATCCTGCCGATTATGATCTGATGCATCATTCGTGTCGGCATCCCCAACAGGGCAATGTGCGCATTAAGCAGGACCGCCCCCCCCCCCTGTCGGAGCAACATTTTTGGCCGGGTAAGTTTCTCTTTGAATTTATTTCCAGGCGGGCTTTGGTCTATCAGACGATTCTGACGAAGGTCGTTTTTCTGCATTAGATCGCTTACGATCAACTTCAGGATATACCGAATCTTCACCATTGCAAACTAGGCCTTCAAAACTGAAGCCCTTGTACGTTACCTGGTGTTGGCTGTTGTTCTCTGCTTCATCCTCATTATTGTTGAGCTTGCAATTGACCACTAGACCCGCATAAGGTCAATATTCAAACTCACATCAAAGGGCCCCAGGAGGGCTGCTGCTGCCACTCGGTCCTCCTCATTCTCTGCCTTCTCTGCAATCTTCTTCAACGTGTCCTGAAATTTTACTAGCTGTGATTGTGCAGATTGCACAGGACGCGACACAAGGAAGGCTTCGAAATCGCCTCAATTGGCTCGGTTCGATGGTCGGAAGTGCCAGGGAAGGGTTCTGAAAAAGCTGTCGTTATCTATGATGTGTTGATCGAGTAATGACAGGATGAGGAATGGAAAGAGGTAGATAATGCGTGGACGATGAGAGTATTGGCGCACGTATGATGAGGCGATCCTTTTACGCGTTGTGTAGCTGGGCTCAACGTGGTAAGCATAGTCTATCATTTAAGCATTTATTTTATTAGGGGGCACTCGCTGTTATAGTTCATGCTGCCAATTCGCGAGGCCGGGAATCGATTCCTGCGTATCCTATCGCACTGGTCCATGATGACTATCATACTAACCCCAGAGGCCCATGCATTCCTGTCCATCTTCCCTGATCCTCGCTTAGCTTTTTTTTTTTTTTTTTTTTTTCCTGGAATATCATCAACAAACGCGACTCATGCTGTTTGTATGTTGCTTTAGAGCATAACTGGACGCCCAAGAAGCTATTTGATGTTATCCATGACCTAAATTGAGAGCGACGACGAGCTTATGCTCCGGATCATGGTTTGCCACGCTGGAACGCTTCTCGTCAGCTAGATGCATCTTAATCACTGGATGGAACTCTTTTCGCAAAAGGACTTCCAGGCCTTGAACGCGCATTCGTTGTCGGGCATACCCTACTCAAATTCCTCTCATGCGACTTACACCTCCGAGTTCAGTCTTTTTAGCGATATCAATGGAAATACAGCTTGGATGGCCACAGGGGATGATGGGCAGGTTCGAAGGCGCTCAGCTGCAGTGACGAATGAACCCCGCGAGTCACCGTAGCACTACGATGCTCAACGCTGCGATGGAGGTCTCTCGCCAGAGATGGCAGAGCTTGATAATTGTGATGAAATGGGAGACAGAACGGTGGTAATGTCTAATACGGACAAAGATCGCGTGATGGAAGATACTCAACACCAAGGGCAGGTCCGCCAGCTCTGGGTCTCATGGCTGGGTACTCTAGCAACCCTCTCGGACAGCGACTCAAAAAGGGCAATACCTCAATGGCAAACAAACGTTTCGATGATCCAAACGCTGCGTCCTTGGGCCATCATAGCCGCAAAGGCCAATTCTGTAGCAAAGCAGCGGATAAGGAGCGGGTCAACGTACAGAGTAACATGGCGGTCGATATACCTCCAAGTGCTCAGAATCGTTTGCGACAGTTATCAAGTCGGCATCCGCTTACATATGCCGATGAAGCCATGATACCTAACCATGAAACTCTTGATGACAACCGGCCCAACGTGTCGGCCACATCACCCCACAGCTCCAGCTCCAGCAACTTCCACACAGCGAAGAGGGACAGAAGACAAAGGAGCAGCGTGACTTACGGCCATCCCAACAGCAGTTCAACCTGCCTTCCGACCGCCGTCCGGCTACCTTAGCATTCTCTGGCTACGGCCATGACTCCAGCGGTTCTGACGACTTGTACGGCCCCGAATTCGATATCGGAGGCGGAGGCCGTCGCCGTCGACTGAACCATAACCACTAACGTTAACGCCACGGCCACGGCCGGCACTCCTTTACCCCATCCTCCGTTACCGGAAATGCCGTGGTCCCCTCCGCTGCCATGGCCGATCGTACCCTCGTTCAAGCCCAGACTCCGCAAGGAAACCGCGGTCGACAGAGCCCCCAGCCTCTGTAACCACGCAAGTCCTTTGGTAGCATACGTTTGTTGGCTCACTCTGCTCGCGAGCAGAGTTTTGGCGCGCGTAACCTGTTCACCAGCAGTACGGCGAATGAGCGCCTTCATGCTTATTCCTCGACTGCAAAGCGATCGATTGCATCGTCAGGCGCTTTACTTGCACCGTCCTCGTTAGTCGAGTTGCCATAGCCCCCATCATCTTCTTCTTCGCCGCCTGTTGTAAGCACGTCCACTTCGACGCCAGGCGTATCTCCTGTTGCAATCGAATCGACCTTAAACATTGCATCTTTATCCACGGCCGGTTTCGAAAATTATAATGAAAGCAATCATCTTGTAATAAATCATGTATATCATGTATATCATGTATATTACAGTTGAATATAATAAAAGGATGTATTACGAAACGCTAGAAAGATAATTTTTCATAACTCCATGTCGTGGTTCGCTTGTGAGGATATTTGTGCGCCTGCCTTTTTGTAAGTGTACTGTCCTTTGATCGTAGGTTGCAACGGCTGCTGCGCTGTCAACCCATCCATAGAATCTGCCCCTTCCTGTCCCTGTGCCGTCGATGCTGCATTCCGACTCTGCATCAACAAGAAACTCTGTTCAAAGAACTGATTCGGATGTTCGATCGATTCCTGACTGGCCACTATACTCGCATCTCCTTGCCCGCTCATACTACCGCCTTTCAAATTGTTGGTCGAGACGTCCAGCATCTTGGCCCGAGTGACTTCATAGTACCGTGTGCATGCGATCTGGAAATGTTTGCCCTGGACAAGTTGGAGAATATCCTCTGTATCGAAATCGTCCACCTGGTGAGCTGCAAGCGTCGCACGCATATTTGGTGCACTGAAGTGCCGGAACGGGCAGCCGTGATGGTCTCCTGGTCCTGGAGCATTATTCTGGATGATATACCGACAGCTAATTGCGTTCATGAATATCTGATGTAAGTAAAAGAAGTGGCAGGTTATAGACATTTCCAAGCCTTTAAGGGCACTAAACGTTGTTGATATCCTTACCTATAAGGCGTGTAGTCGGTGCGTTTTCCTTCCATACCGTACGAGTGCCTTACGTTGTACGCATACTGCTTGTTGAACTGATCCGGCGTCAGCTTCTCGAACGCGATCTGCCAAAAGATCAGCGCCTGCTCCAACGAAAGACCTATGCCCTTCAAGAACAGGCCATACTGCATTCTTCCCCAGTGCTTCAGATGTTTTTCCCGTCGCAATTCGCTGTGGAGGTGCTCCATACATAGAGGCATATGAACCTTGAGCTATAGAGCAGATATACAAAGTGCCTGGGTGAGTTAACGAATGTATACCAGTCAGAAACCGCTAAGCGGGAACACTGAAATGACAGGACGACTTACAGCGTCGACATCTTGCGCCTGAATTTCGCCCGCAATGCGGGAAGTCGTGAATTCACGACCCAAATACTGCTTGTTAATATTGTTCAGCACTGGCATCAATCGATCATCCTCGTCCATCCTTGGCAGAGCCCTTCCAGTGACCTCCAATGCGTGAGAGAGGCGTTCCTTGAATTCGTCTAAAACCAAGACAACCTGATCTGCCAGGGGGACATAGGCCTTTCCTGCCTGAACATAGACCTGTCTCCGAGCCACCAGTCCAGTAACTCTCTCAAAGTCAACTTCGAAGTATGTCTCTTCATCCACGTTCTGAGCCTTGAACGACGAAGCTTTCAATTTATCCTTGAGTAGCCTTTTATCGTCGTCGCTGACCTATGCACATGGAGCATGTTGGGATCCAAGTTCAGTATCAGTCATTAAATGATATATTATCTGATCCGCGAAAAAAATGAAGTTCTCTGTGAGCAAGCGTGATGTACCTTCTTCCAGCTCAGGTTTTGTTTCTCCAAAAACTCCAACTGATCCTTCAATAGTTCTTTCTCAAAGCGGTATCTATGTGAACCAGTAAGAACGAAAGGATTAGCCCATGAGTCATATACATATCCATTCAAATAACTGCTTCGTATTAAACGAGATCAGTTTGCGTCGCGTACCTGAAGAGTGCACACTCGGCGCGCAAGAACCATGATCTGAGTTCCTGACTAGACACAAAGAAGCAGAGCAATATAGAGATCCTGGGCGTCAGTAGCCAGAAGGAACCAAAAGAAAAAAAGCAAAAGTAGATCGACTATTTGAGCTGGCATCCCACTCACCTTCGCGAATACGCCAATCGCAGAATAAAATGGCTGACATGATCCTTCCGGCGCTCGTCCATCAGTTGCCCATGTGTCACATTCGGCGTCCTGTTAGGAGACATCGGCATATACTTCTTAATTGCGTCGCCCATAGCCTTGTCCAGCTGGTCTGGTGTCAAGTTTCGCGTCTGTGCGGTCAGCAGCGTAGTCAGGACTAAATAATGATAAATAAAAAAAAAAATGTAATAAGCATCGACAGCAGAAACACCGCACATTGCAATTCAGATAGTACATAGGCTTGGAAAATGAAATAAAAAATACCTTGCATGCGGTCCAGTGCAAACTGCTCAAACTCTTCGATACTGATTTCGAGTGGAGGTGGGTCCTTGTAAAAGTTGAGGCGAGTAGGGTACGGTTCGTCATCATAGGTGAATCGTGCTCCCGAGGTCAGCTTTTGCTTCAGCCGGCTCTTTCTGTTTTGTTGCGTGAACATGATGAAGAGAACCCGGGGAATGCAGTTGATTGCTGCTAGATCAGATGAAGAGAGGAATGAAAAGAGGAATGTTGGCCGCTACAGAAAAAACCAAGTTGTGCTTGCGGGCGGTCAAAAAGACGCGCTCTGTTTGTTATTTATTTTTGTATGAGAAAAACGCGTTTCTGTTTTGGGCGAAATGAAGTTCTATTGATGCATGCGTGCATGCACTTAAAGAATTTCAAAAGCAATGACGTCACCTTTTTTTTTGACCTTTGTCTTCGACAGGCCCTGCGACCCGCAACACTTCTCCTGCCAATACCAGCGGATCGATTGCCCAGAACACAGACCGAGGACCAATGACCCACAACTACGCGCGATCTCTCGTCAGCGAGCTTTTTGCTCCCTTCGAACCGAGTAAACACAAGTTCTGGGACAAGGAGGTACGAGGACTAGCATTATTCTCAAACACAAGGACAGCCTTTTGTTTCCATGGAGATTCTTCTAATTGCTGTCTTCGCCAATATCTTCTATCTCCTTGCTAGGTCTGTAAGCATTTCCTCGTCAAGTTTTGTCCCAATAGCTTGTTCACAAACACAAAATCTGATCTAGGCAACTGCGACCTTGTCCACGACGAGAAACTGCGTGAAGAGTATGTATTCCTTGTGGTGCATTATATCATCTCGTATCAATTGCCTGCGATCAATGGATAAGATCTAACAAAAAAGCACCTGCGACCTCGCATCTCATTGAAACAATAACAGATATCAAAAAGCCCCCGATAAGGACTCTTACCGGTATGAAGAGGATTTCTTTGATTACCTTACCTATCTGCATAACGACCTTGAACGAAAGATTCGCCGAGGCAAGGAGCGTAAGGATAAGGAGGTTGATGAGCATGTAAGTCCCCCTTTTTTTTCTTCCTCGCAATCAGCAATCATGGTACTATGCTGTTGCCAAAGCCACCTCTGAAAACTAATACGACTTTATTTCTTTGCGTGTATCGATAGCTGCTCAACCCCCGCAAGGATGAAAAAGAGGAGAAGATTGTGATGCTGGAACAAAAGATCAAGGATACGCTCGCCAAAGTCGAAGAGGCTGGCGAGGAGGGCCGCGTGGATGAAGCCCAGGTGCTAACGGACCAGGCCGAAAAGATACAGGCGGATCTCGAACATCTCAAGCAGAACGACGACGTCAACCCAATCTTCAGACAAGAAAACAAAATGGAGGTCTGTCATGTCTGTGGTGCCTTCCTGGTCATGAACGATACCTCCAACAGATTGGACGCTCATCTCCAGGGTAAACAGCACACGGGATACCAAAAGATCCATGAAACCTATGAGGAGATGAAGAAACAGCGTGGCGACCGTTCTTATTCTTCCCGTGGCGATCGCAGCGGCGGTGGACGACACCGCGAAGGCGAATATGGCGGCCCTGGACCTCATAGAGATCACTATTCCGACAGCAGAGGCGACCGCGATCGCGGCGGCTACAAGGATTCAAGAAGCTACCGCGATCAGCCCTACCGCAGAGACGATCGCAGGGACAGAGATCGGGATGGCAGAGATGGAAGGGACAGACGAGACAGGAGCAGGGACCGTGGCGGCAGACGGGACTATGACAGAGATCGGGACAGCCGACGCGGGGGACGAGAGGACCGTCGCTATTAAGTAAGTGGAACAAGGATTGCAGGTTTCTCCATCGTTCTTAACACCATCAAACAGTCTACCAGTTTTTGCCAAAGACCTTACTCAATAATAAACATTGTAGCCCAAAAAAAAATTAAAAAATAAAAAATAAAATAAAAAAAAAGATTATCAGCGATATTATTATGTTTAGGGATAATGAGGAAACGAATAAATTACATTGCAAAGGGACTACAATACAAATGAACACAGCTAGAAATGACATAGAAGCGTGCCGTTATTGATGAGGGTGGTGACGCCTGGATTGCTGAGAATGATGATGAGGTGGTGGGGGCCCATAGGATGGTGCCGAGTGCTGTGAATGTCCATATGAAGGCTGCGAGTGACCAGGGTGATAGCCTGTAGAAGCTGGGGGTGGTGGCAACATCGACGCAGACGTTGAAGGACCATATGAAAACGACGATGGTTGATGTTTTGGTCCTGAAGACGTGTGCACTCCTGGTGGGGGCTGAAGGTACGATGGTGATGGTACCTGGCCAGGGATATGGTGCTGGAAGGGACTCGAGGACCTTCGCACATGTTGCTGGTACTGGAGATGCTGAGAGTGGTGCACAGGTGGCTCTGACATGCGAGGAGACATGACTGGCCCGACAAGACTGGGCATACCGGACGCAGAGGAGACAGCTGAAATCGGGATAGGAGAATAACGGGGCGGCATATGTCCTCCGTGGCCTATATGGATTGGAGATCCTGGTCCGTTGGAAGGACCGCCAGGTGCAGGCGACCCTCTCAGAGCTCCTGATCCAGGTAACTGTGGCGAGCTACTGTATCTCGAGATCGATCCGGAATGGCTGTGACCAAGGCTATGACTATGCCCATGGCCATGACCATGGCTATGTCCGTATCCGTGTCCGTGTCCGTGTCCATGAGAGTGACCGTGGCTTCCAGCAGACGTTGCCAACGACGAGTGCTGCAATGTCATGGACGACTCGTGGATAGGTCGAGGGTGTGGGGACAGGACCTCGATCTGACCAGACTGGTGCGAGCTATGGTGCTGAGCATAAGGCGGATAGGGCGCATGAGACGGTGGGTGAGGATATCCATGATGCTGTTGTGGCTGTGCATAGTACGGTCCCTGGTGCGACATGGGTGATCGAGCACGGACATTCGACTGTGGCGAAGGATTGGACCGCGGTATCATCTCCACATGACTAATACTGCTCGACCTCTGATGCTGCGAGTGGTGATGAGGTGCTTGTGCGGATGAGTAGTGCGAAGGCAGCATGACCGCTCCTGAAGGAGCAGGCGACATCGACATGGACGGCGATGCCACCCGCTGCAACGTAAGGCCACCAGAAGGAGAGGAGATGGGCGGAGGGGGTGAGCGATACCCGCTACTGACATGAGAGGAGCCGTAGTAGTGCTGAGCGCCGTAGGGCGGTCCAAGCACCGCAGGGTTAGGGTGAGAAGGATGCTGCTGAGAGGGATGCACTGGCTGATGAGAGTGGTCATAATAACCAGGTCCATTGGACGCCTTGGATGGATAACCGTGTCGCATGGTCGAAGCACTTGCTTCTGAGGCGCGCCTCTGGTTCGACGCCATGGTGTCAACTGCTTCAGATCCATAGAGACCATAGCCATGACGCGCGGGCTCAAACTCGTCCTCTGTCTCTACATCCTCAACCTCCATACGTGCACGTTCATTCGCATAGTGATGCTGCCTCTGCATCGGTTCCAGTCTTTGAATGTGATCCTGTCTCTGCAAGTATTCACGCGCCGGTGGATGAACCACCTCAAAATCGCGCTCCGGAGATTGAACACGGCTGCCTTCTTCACCGTTCCCAAACCAGTCTTCCACTGCAACATGGACATCCTCATCATCGTTGTTGAGCAAGTTGCCGATATTGGTAATACGTCTGGGCGGCGTGGGCTGTCGAAGCTCTTCTGTTTGGTGCACGTTGCCCCTGTCATCACCTTGGGGTGAAGGCATAAAATACCCCGTCCTTGGCCCTGCTCCAGTAGGCGAATGAGGTCGTTGCTGGGCGGTATATCCTGCAGGGGCGTACATTTCGGATCGGTCGCCCAAAGCCTGGTCCACATAACCTCCTTCCTGAACTCGCTGATAGGATTGACCGTGATCCAGAGGCGGCTCTCCATCGTCTACTGAGGGGACAAGGGGCGAGACTGGGCGCTCCATAGGAATGACGCCATCCGCAGCCAATTTCTCAGCGTTGTTGCTATAATGGTTACGGACCTGAATGAGTGTCTTTGTCTTCATGGCCTTCGAGATTTTGTCCCAGTCCTTTCCGTGAACACTCAAGAGTCTTGCGAAATCGATCTTCTCTTGCCGGGACCAATAAGATGAAAAATTAGGTCGGCGTGTTGCTCCGTCCATATTCACCTGGCCTGAGAGCTGACCATCATCCGCTGGAGAGGAAGCAGGCATAAATGGTGAGCTCACCTCTGAGGGGGGCTCGCGCGAGTATAGGGCTCTGAAAGATGTGGCAGTTGGAGTGGATGCCGCCTCCGTTGAATTAGCGCCAGCCTCGCTCTTGGGAACCACCTTCTTTCTTTTTCGTTTATCCGTTACATTCTCTGTCTCTTCCGCGTTGTTCGTCATCTCCACTGGTTCTTTCAAGGGCTCGTCCTTAGTGATCTCTTGAGTAACTAGTTTCCCTGCTCGACGACGACTCGACGGTGTTGCACTCGCTTCCTTGGCGATACCGGTAATTGTGCTGTTGGGTGTACCGGGTACAGATGCTCCAGCAGTGTTGGTAGCCTTGCCCTTCTTTGTCCTAGTTTTCTCAACAGGCGCAGTCTCAACATCCTTGTCTTCAACGGCCTCGTCGATGTCGGCCATCTCGAGATTGTTGGCGTCGTCCAGTGCACTAACACCAAATTTCCGCTTGTAGTTGAAGCAAAAGTTCCTGCACTGATCGACGGTCTTCGTACCCACCGCGTTCGCCACAGCATCGAAATCGCGACCGTACTTCTTCAGAGCTGCAATACATTTAGTATGTTCTGCGGTTGTCCATCGAGTGATTCCTCCGGAAGGCACAGGTGAGGTTTCTGCTGCGGCTCCGCTCTCTTCGACAGATCCAAGTAGGGCCGGAGAGATCTGTTTCGTTGCCATTGCTGAAGTATCTGCGGGAAATTCAGTATTGGTCGCTGCTTCTTCTGTTTTCGACGCAGTCTTGTCAATAGCAGGAGCTGAGACAGGAGAGACCTTCTCAAACTTGGACTTCTTCTCCTCGACCACCACGTCCTCTGTTGAGGCCTTGGGGCTAGGAGCCCCTGCGGCGGCGGCGGAACGGGTATTCGTGGCCTTGGATCTCGGCTTTCTGCGCTCGAGTGCTGGAATGACAGGCGTGGAAACAGTCGACGATGGCGCAGGGCTTGCCGCATTGCTGTTTGTCTCCTCGAGGCCAGGGGTTCCTGCATGTTGATTGGCAGCACCACTTCGAACGCGGCGTCTAGTGCCTAGCTCCGTATCAAAATCAACCCACGTCTGACTCATGTCCTGTAGATCGCGAACCTCCCTACTCTTCGCCTTCTTCCTGTTCGCCTGACCGATATCTTCGATCAGGGCACTGCCCTTGTGCTTCTTCCCTGGCTGTCCAGAAGGTGACGGTTGCTGTGTTACCTTTTCCTTGCGTTTGCCTGCTGCTGTCTTGCGTTTCCGGCCGCGGTTCGAAAGCATTTCCTTGAACCCAATCTTTTTCTTTTCGCGGTAGTAGAACAGCACACATTGGGAGGCGGTTTTGTTCTCGATACCCGCCGCAATCTTGCCGAACTGCTTTGGGAAGTTGAGATAGCGTTTGATAAAGGTCTGCCGTTCCTCTTCTGTCCATATATCCGTGACCGGACCGAGGCGGTAGAACTTGGCGGGGTCCGTCACCAGATGGTTGCGGTCAAAATAATGGACCTTCTCCCGGATGTAAGGGTCCAAAATCATCGGCGGCACTGTGGCGGCAGTTCGGGAGGCCCTCAGGTCGGGATTCCGCATGTCTGCATTCTCCAGACTCTGAATGATCTCTAACAGCTCAGCCTCGCTCCTAACAGCATCACTGTTATAGGCGCCACGTCGATTTCGAGTCGTGAACAGGACATTTTCGCTCTGGACCAAGTCTTCCTCGCGGACGTTTGCTGGCAGGGGTGCGTTCAACATCTTCTCCTTGATCTTGTCTAGCTTTTCGATCTTCTTGGTCCACACCTCCCAGTATTGCTTATACTCCTTCTTCAGTTCCAGTTCCTTCTCGTCCAACGCAGCAGCTTTGACAGCCATGTTGTGTAGCATTGCGCCCCTGAGCTGCCGGTGGCTATCGATGTTTTCCTGGTAGCAGGGATAATCCTCAATCGACTCGTAAATCTGAGGCTTGTCTTGGTCATGGCGGCGGTGATGAGACGAATTTCCATCGCGAGGGGATCCCAGTGCCGAGTGCACCCGTCCGTACTTTTTGGCACGAGTGTTGTTTTCGGCATAAATTTGATCATAGAGCTGAGGCCGACGCGTCTGCTGCCCCTTTCTCTTGTAGTACGGGTCGTCCTCATCAACAGGATGCTGGAGCTCATGCCGGGAAAATTGCTGTACGATCTGTCGACGTTTCTCCTTTCCTACTTCTGTATCCGATACATTCGTGTCAATGTCCTCGCTGTCGATGACATCTAACTTCGAGTCCTCCATATCTCTGTCCGGAACGACGTGAGCAGGGCTGGGTGCATCCCTGCCACCATCCATGAGAGAGTCCTCGTCCTTGGAGTTGTCATGACTAGCCTTGTTGGGCAGATCCGTTGTGGTATCGTCAATATCCATCACAGTCTCATCCGCCACATCTGCAGTTGACTTCGTATCCGGCTGTTCGATGTCAATCGATACATCGTCGTCCTCATTGAGATCAACAGTAACTGTCACCTCGGTCCCGACTTGAGGCTGCTCGTCCTTGTGGCGTCTATGCTCCGTCAAGAGTCCCTCGAGATGTTGAATTTGCCCATCAATCTTGTCGATCTCGACTAGAATGTTGGCGTGGTTCTCGAGCCCAATCTCCTCCTCTATGGAAATGTTGCTGTCCGCGTTAGCTTGAGCAGACGACAACCCTGATGACAAGAGAGATCCCGTGGGTGGGCTCCTTGTCGCCTTGGTGTCGTTTGCATCCTTCGCGACAACTAATTCATCCGTTGACGGGTTGGTGTCTGCGGTTCGAGCATCAGTGAGATCCTCCTTTGGCGCTAGTGGCGTGCTGACAGCGACAGACTCTTCCTGTGTTACCATTCCACCAGTTTCCTCACTTCCTGCTTTGGCATCAGTATCCTTCTCGGTATTGCTGACTTTGGCAGGCGTGATCGAAACTGAGATGTCCTTATTACTGCTGTCTGCTGTCACCATATCAACAACAACATCGTCGCCAACATCAGTATCGGGAGGCTGATTAGATTCTGCCATTTCTGCCGCGTGTACCTGCGTCGCTACGGGTTCTGGCTTTGGGCCTTCAATATGGGGCGAGGTATATGCTGCTGAGTTTGCTGTGATGCTACTGTCGTTGCCCGCATTGCTGCTGTCGGTTTGCCCTGAACAAGATGATATCTCCTGATTGTCGCTCATTGTAATGTTGATGTGCTTGTCCTTCTTGTTGCCCAGCTCAGACTCCAGTCCAACTGTACCATCCAATCTGCCCGGTTGCTTAATGTCCAGGTCTGCAGACGCAAAAGCGACACTAGGATGGTCTTTTGTGACATGATGTTCCCGAGAATGCGCTCCAACTGATTCGTTATGGCTAGCATCTTCCGACGTGGGAGCACTAGGGACCCTTTGCCTCCTGCTATCGCCAGCGTGCCACGACCGACTATCCATGTCCGACTGAGGGCCAGCTCCGTCGAGACGATTGTAAGTGTCGCGCTCTCGATCCCGCACTTGATCCTTGCCTCTGGCAGTAAGCTCTCGGCTAATGTCTTCTACATGGTAACGACTCCGTTCTCCTGTAGAATCGCCATCCTTTGTGGTATCGTCCTCAGCCTGTCTCGATTCCCGAGAATTTTGTGAGTGAGAAGAGGACGGGCCAAAATCATTTACATTTACTGATTTTGTGGGAGCGCGCTCACTGCCAAGCGTGTCTCCTACTTTCCCAACGGACTGTCGAGACTTGTCCAAAGTATACGCCAACAAATCCCGGTCGAGATCCTGGACAGTCGCCATTGAACGTGCGTTCGACCCTCGCTCCCGCTCCCTTTCCCGTTCGCGGCTATTTTGGTCGAAAGCAGGGCGCGTTGGTATAGGGCCATCATGATCTTTATCCGATTCGCGGAGCCATATCGGACGCTCACGAACTCTATCACGATCTCGCTCTCGCTCCCGCTCGCGTTCTCGTTCTCGTTCACGTTCCCGCTCTACCAGCTCACGCACATCCAGGTCGCCGCCTTCTCGTCCTGAGAAAGAATCGCGTCCTTTGGCATCGGAATTCCAGAGCCCTCGGTCACGTAGATCCCTATCTCTGCCGTCCCTATCGCGCAGCTCTCGAGTGGTGATTCCAAGTTCCCGAAGATCACGTTCCCTGGGATCACGATCTCGGTAGTCGGCTTCCCTCGAGTAAAGCATATCGCGATCTCTCAAGTCCCGCTCTCGTAGAGGCATATCGCGCATGTCCCGGATATCTCTTGGGTCCCTAGGAGGTCTAGGATCACGCATATCTCGAATGTCCTGACGGATATCTCTGTTTCTGAAATCCCTGTCCCTGTCGAACTCTCGGGGAAAATGGCTCAGCCGCCCTCTCCAGTCGTCCCGGTCCATATATCGAGCTGGCCCCAGTCCTAGCCCAATGGTGGGTCCCATTCCAGGAGAGTTTGGGCCAAAATACTCCATTGATCGTCCGCCATGGTTGGCCTCGTTTGATGACCCTTTGTAATTTGGTGGGGGACTGAAATCTCGAAGATGTGATATTGACGAGTTGTTTGCCGCTGAACTAGATCCAAAGTGTCTTGATGATACTGATGACTGTGCTGCATGATCGGCCATGCCCGGGCTATTCTTTAAGCTCTCCGATGATCTAAACCGAGCGTCACGAGATGGAAACCGTTCCGGATATTTCAACCGAGGAGACTATATAATCACGGAACAAACGGCACCACTTTTTCGATTAGTAATTTGTTCGAGTTCATATCCTTGGTGTCCCTTTTTTGCCCGATCTCTAATAGCACAGGTAAAAAGATAGACGACAGAGCAATAGACCCGAGGGAGACAGCACGGTAGGGGAGGGGGAGAATAATCGAAAGTAAGAGCGAGTAATGTAATACGACGATAGTACCTCCTGGAAGCCCATCTCGGACGGTGGTGGACCATCTGGTCCATTCCTGTTCGGATGGCCAATAGTCCCGCTCCTCGGGGGTCTCCTCCTATCTGAGTTTGAGCTACATTCAAGGGCAAAGGCGGCAATAAGATGGACAGGTCAAAAACCATGCGGGATATCCCAATAACATCTCTTCTTGCTTGTCATCGTCGCTACTCCTTACAAGTCTCTTGGTCGGTTTCGTTCATCTCTCTCCTGTGAGCGACTTCTTTCATAATATTTCCTACTGTCCAAAATTAAGTCAAGCAAGGGCGAGCAAAATGGGTCATGCGTCCGTTCACTTTACGCCATTGGAATACAGCAGAACATCATTGCAAGCAAGATAGCCCATGATGGATGCTCTTACCTTGGACCAGAGTATGAGCGATCATGACTCTCGGACCTTGGTTTGGTCGGTGGTGGCGGTGAGCGTGAGGACGAACGTAGATGTTGAATACCTCCAGGCGAACTGACAGTTGAGTGGATACGAGACGACTTGAGCTGACTGGAGGCAGTTTGCAGTGGAGACAGTAGTGGGGATCTTTCCATGGCTTCTTTTATCGTGATATCCCTCGACAGCTAATCGAGTCGAAGGATCCTTTTCGTTCGTTCGTTCGTTCGTTTGATTGATGCTTGCTAGCTGGATGGGGCGCGATGGCTGTTCGTTACGATGGTGAGAGAGCGGCTGGATCGTTATGGTTCTGGGGAAAGAAAAGATGGTGATGAAGGTTGACCGTGTCCCGTTGCAGCAAGATGCTCTTTTCCTGCGAGGGCGTCGTTTGAGAGCGGGTGGTGTGGTCAGTTCAAAGATTACTTTACTCTCCGTGGTACTCTCACGGTATATTTGCCACCAGAAATCGAACAATCGATACCTTGGTGCAAATAGAGATGAAATTGCATGGATGAGCAAGCAAGGCTCAATCGGTCTATGGGGATCGTAGTTGCAAAGTCGATGCAAAGGATGAAAGGAAGGAAGGGTGGCGATGAGGGGAGAGAGGTACACTGGTGGTAAACGATGGCAAGGGGAGCGATGGGGAGCAATAGCACTCATTCAAGGCGGCCCATATCACGTGTAGTGCCAAACCGCCTCTTTCACCCCGATGCATCCAACAAGTCCACAACGCGATATGGTAATCAAAACAAGGCATCGTTTAGTGCAGCAGATAAACAATGTATGAGATGGATATGATCTATTGGCGCAAGTTACAAGGTGGTGGTAGGGCCTGCAGGCACAACAGGCACAGCCTGGATTAGCGCCCGAGATTTCTGAGCAATGAACCGTGACTTGAGCTCCTCCACGAAAAGGTTTCGCTCCACAGCAACGCCTCCCAATACGGAGGAATTTTCCTGGGCACGACTACGGGTAGTTCGATAGCAGATAGGATTGTGAGGAAAAGAGTTAATACAGGATTGTGATGCATCAGAGAAATAGAAAGAAAGGCAGGCGCCAAAACTTACCGGATGAGGTACGGAATAACGCGGTGGATGGGTCCATATGGGACGTTCTTGTAAATGTCATAGCCATGACGTCCAAGAGTGTACGAGATCTGGTCGCACATACCCATCAGCTGACCAAACATGACAAGACCAGACTGAGGAGTCAGGCTCAGTTCCTCCATGCGCTCGCAGGTGCGGATCACCGAACCCCCGTTGTGTGAGGCTACAAACAGGACCACAGGGGAGTTCTGAAGCGAAAGTGTTGATGGTGATGATCCCTCGCTCTGCGACTCACTCTTGCCTTGGTTCGCCTTGAGTTTACTGGCCATTTGTCCCAGCATGAAATCGACGCCGGCATTGTACGACTTGTGGGTGGCCTCGATTCCATTGCAGATCGGATCGCCGAGACCCAGCTCCTGCGCTCCCTTGCGCTCACTGACCATGTACGCACCGCGAACTAACTTTGCTGCCATGATGTAATCATTTCTTTGAGCACGGGTATAGTCTTGCTGGAGACGGGTCAGCGCATCCTTGAGGTACATTTGGTAGGTGTTGTAGATTAAGGGTCCATCGGCATGAGGGGTATGGTTGTATTGCTCCATAAGATGTAGGGCCACATTGTCGATCGCAGGCTGAAAATAGCTCTGCTCAGCGTCAATCATCAGTCGGGTATGGGTCTTCTCCGCCTAGTCGCATAGCTTTTCCATGCGGGCTAGTAAGCACCTGTAGTCATCCAGATCCTCCTTTGCAAGGCCAGAAATGACGGTAGCGGACTCGTCACCAGCATGAGTGGAAGCGAACAAAGCGCGGGTCTCGTCGCGGTTCAATGAAACGGTACTCGTGAAGTCCACCCAGTCAACGTGACCATTCTGATCCTTGTCGGCCTCTTTAAACAACTGGTCGGCAACGGCCTCGAAGGAACCGTACATTCCTCCAGGGCTGGGGAACAATTTGAGTAGCTGCCTGAATTCTTCCTTTGTGATCTTTCCATCACGATCCTGATCCATGTTCTTGAATGTGCTCTGAAGAGTGTTAAGCGTCGAAGAAACCTGTTGAAGGAGCAAAGGCGAGCTTATGGCAGTGACCTTGATGGCGGCAAACGACCTTGATACGTTGGAGGCAGTCTCGATGCAGGCACTAATCTGGTTCGCAATGTCGTCTGCGCTCTTATTGCATCGCGCACGAATGTCGAAAGATGTCTGGCTGGTCAGGTCAGACTCGTTTAAGTCAAACTCAATCGACAGATCCAGAATAGAATTGATTCCTGCGTTCTTGAACGAGTTCATGGTTCCAATGCAGTCTTCTGCAGTCTCGCCACTAAAGGGAGGCAAAAAAGGTTTGTCCATAGTTTATTAAGTGTTGCACACAGCCACCGTAGTCGTCATAAAGGACGCGTACAGTCACTCGCTGTGAAACCATATGCGAGGTCCAAAAGGTCACCTCCGGAACTAGTCCAAAAGCAGTTGGGAGAGGGATAATAGGTACATTCTCGAGAAACTAAAAAAAAAAGAAAACAAGCGAGGAACGGCCGTCATAAAAGGATTCATTCAAACTTACCCACAGAACTGGGCAAAGAAGGTCTTTCGCCCGATCCAGTATGCAGGAGCACTCAGATGCATCATCTCGGCCAAGCGGATCAGCTTAGGGGTCAGATCAACCAGCAGGTTGAAAGTGCACATCTTGTAGACGAACAAGGACAGCAGCAGATCAGAGGTCGACTTTTTCTCGACACCGATGCGGTTGTGCTTGTCCTTGAGGTTCTGAGTAACACTGCCACCTGTTGGAGCGGAGGACGAGGACTTATCCGAGCTGAGTTCCATCTGAGGAGCCTTGGAGATCTGGTTCATTAGTATGACTGAAGCGACGAGAGCAACTGTGCCTCCAATGGCTACCTTGGTCCAAAGGGGGGAAGTAGTGAACACGGACATTACAGGTACGACAGTAATGGGTTTTTTAGGGGCGGAAGAGAGATAGCGTGTGAACAAAAAGGTGGACGAAGACGGTGAAGAGGACGGCGGCGGATAGGGGGAGGGGGGAGCGAGGCGTGTGTGTCCACGGGAGTGGGAAATGAAAGCCCTCAGGGGTGTGTAAAATGACTGAGAAAACAGCTTACGGGAAAAGGGAGCCGAGGCCTGGCCGCGGACGGCCTTAAAGGAGAATGTGAGTACGCGGGAGGCCATTTGTTTGTTTGTGTATTGATTATTTGATAGTGCGATTGTTTATGAGAGACAATCCAACCAGGGGCAATGGGGGAATGATAATGGGTGCGAAAAGCAAAACAAGCCTGGGAGAGAGGGTGCTGGTCCTTGGCCAAGACAGTGAGAAAAAGAAGGGATTTGTGCGTGCACGCTCTGAACGTACATCCGCATTTTTATCAAAGGAAACGGTGCCCACTATGCAGCCTAAATCATAATCGAAACGAGAACAAAATAGGCGGAAATCCTTTCCCCACGGCGCCCAGGAACTAATCCCATGCAGCCAATGGCGATTTCTTCACTCCTTGTCGTACGACCCGCCTAATGCTACAGGATCTGGTGCAGCATATTAAGCTAACTTGCTTTAGTCTATATGGCCTGAAACATGTCTAATTAATGAGAACAATGATTCCAAGGGTGGACGACCAGGGCCTTCGCTAAACCCATGGGCCCTTTTTGCGTTGCCAATTTGATGTTATGGATGTTCGTGTTAGGGGTTTGTTGCACAGCCATCGATTTCCGTGTCGCCCGGAAGCCGAAACATCTAGAGCTCGAAACGGGAGGTGGAAATAATCAATCAAGTGTTCAACAAGTATACCGTACAGTTTTACCATGTGGAGGGGGGCTTGTTCGTCATGGAATACTTCAAGGGTGACAGCCTATCGAACGCTGTTTTAAGCGGTACCATCTCGAACTGGGAATAGGAAGTTCGATCGTAAGTATCCCATTTTCCATGCATAGCTCGAAGCCAGTGGTCATAAACTCCAGCTTGTCGGCCGTCAGGACGTTGGCGGCCCGTATCTCTGTGAATATCACACTTCTTCGAGTAGGCGAAGAGGTACCATGGAACGAATGTCGCGCCTTCATTCAAGTACACATTACTCAATTCCTTATCCAATGCTGACATTTCCATTACATCGGTGGCCGTGAAGCCCAGAACCGAGGTGTACAAGAATGCAGAGGCGTATATTTCGGATTGAGGATAGTGGAGAAAAACCATTGAATTCTAGGTATCGCAAGTTGGCTAATAACTTGCCATGAACGCGTATTTTCGCGTATGTCTTTTGTAAGTTTTAAAATGGAACTGGCTCTACTCACCCATGGCAAAAGCCGGCTAGCGAATCTGCAGCTTTCGTTATATTGCCTTTTTTATTGACACCAGATCCCCCAGACGCGCAGGTCAGCTTTCGTTATATCGCGCGGCTGGTCTCTCTGCCTGTCTATCTCATGATACAATTTTAAACGACCAAAAGAATCTTGCTTTTGCACTGTTTTGAAGATGGGGATAAAAATATTATAGTACTACAGTAGATGAATACAAGCTTTTTTTTTTTTTTTCCTATAGTCCCTAAGTCCGGCGTCAAGGATGGGCTTTCATCACCCTGTCGAGTGTCTCGGATACCAAGAAGGCAATATCGTTTCTCATCTTCGCCGTCTGAATCACGTCCTTGACATCGCACCCTGCATTCTCAATATTTGCCGACAACAATCGACCGCTCTTCGGATGGATCTTGATCAAGAACTGCGTCAAAATCGGTTTCCTGTTCCTAGCGCTCCGCGCGTTCACTTTCGCAACCAAATTGGGGTTCACAGTGTACAGAGTAGCCGATTCGGGCATGATCTTGTACTCGAGAATGAGTGAGTTGGACTCTGGTAAGAATTGAATCGACTCGAGACCGACGCCCTCCTGGTATTGCTTCGTTGCCTCCACACAGTCCTTGTACGCTTTCTCAATCTCGGGCCGACGGAGGACACTCATCTTGACAGCCTCCTTGGCCTGCGACTCGGACTGGATGCACTGCGTGACAAGTCTCTGGTTGCTGTCCTTGAGCTGTGTCTCTTGCCACTTCAGATTTTCAATCTCGGCAGTCATCTCCTCCAAGTCCTGGTGAAGATGGTGCAATTGCTGGGTCTGAAGATATGAAAGGTCAAAAAGAGACCGAGGGCTTCTTGTCAGTTCCTGGTCGCTTTTTTTTTTTTTTTTTTACCAAGGTTCGCCATCCAACGAAAAATCTAACTAATTCCCATACCTGTGCTGTTAGAACCCTTTGAGAATGCTCTAATGTCATGCCCTATTGTCAGAAAGAATAATAATAATAATAATAATAATAAAACAATAATTAGCATGCGGATCAAACGACCACCATAAAAGTCAACATAGGACAAGACATACCCTGTACTGGTCATCCATCTTTTTCATTTCCGTCAACTCTCTCTCCTATGAAACCCAATAAGCGCGCGTGGTCAGTCTATAAGTTCACTAGCTTCCACTACGCCATGACTACCGCTGTATCGACGGTTCCTGCGTACCATGCTTTGTATATCCTTAAGTGATTTTGTCAATTCAAGGATTCCTTTGTGTAGTTCCTCATAATCTAGTGTAAGAGAAAGACATTGTCAGCTCTGAGCAGCGCGAAATAGCACGTTGCATTAATACGATCCGTCATCCTTATTTGCAGTTCCTGGATCCCCCTTACCTCGGCATGCGGCCTCTGAAGTCTCACTAATCTGATCCTGCAACTGAATCACGCTCATCTCTGTCTCTTCCTCTTCCTTTTTGGCTATTGCAGCCTTGGCTTCCATCTTTTGATTGCTGTCCAAGGTGATGTTGAGAGGGATTTCCTCCGCAATATATGCTAGAAACCGTTCTTTCGTGGCCAATTCCGTGTAGCTGATCGCCAGTTTATCGAAATGGCTCTATCAGAGGACAAAGGCACAACATTAGATGAAGCGGCTCAATTGCATATGTCTTTATCTTCTCATGTCTATAATCGCCCCGGTCCACTTTCATCATCTGGACAGTATATCAATACCTTGTAGTATTGTAAATCTCCCTCGGTCCGTGTCAACGCCATAGCGGCTCCACCAGAGATAGCTTCCAGTTTTTCGAGTTTGTTCTCGACTAGGAATTCTTCTTGGAGTCCATGGATGTATAGCCGACTGTGCTGGAATTCGGTCGTAAGACTTATCAAGCAAGAACGAAGAACAGACAAGGCCAGCTGTCAGATTGCAATTTAAAAAAAAAAAAAGTCTCCCGCAATGTAATTGATGTCGTCGAACTTGGTTGCTCTCCTAAAGTACAGGTGCCACATACGCATTGCAGAGCTCAATGGAACTCCTGGTCGCTTCTGGATCCATGGCGACCGTGCTTTGTGATGACTGTTGGAGGTATGATAGCAATCAGCTTGCATCAGGGGTTTATTTTATTTACAGTTCCCCAATTGATAAATTGACGCAGGTGTCCTTTTGTACGCTCAAAGTCACAATGTCCCATCCCCACCTTCTAAGTCGGAAATACTGACAGTGCATACAATCGGGATGGATATATATCAAACCCCCCTAAAAACCCCCTAAAGCCCCTTCGGGGCCCAGGGAACCGGCATCAGAACTAATTTGAGCCTTTTTTGGATGCGTTTGAAGTCCCAGTTGACGCGGTGACGTGCATGTGTGTGTATGGAACGCGATCCCTATCGCGTGCATGCCGGAACGACGCGTGCACCTGAGGAAATTTGTAGACGCCGGTGCACAAGGGCCTTGGTACTACTACATGCAGTATAAGTGATATTACCGCAAATAGTGGTGTCTTTTCATTCAGCTCTAGTCGATATGATACGAATAATTTAAGCAGGGTTTCTAACAAGATAAAGTTTCTTTTCAAAAGAAGGAATGAGATGCAGAAGTAAAGTGAGGACAAGTCGGAAGCGAATGGAGCACGAGAGCAAAGAACAGAGTGAACGAGGCGAGCGGCTTCCTTCTGTCGCTCAGCACCACCGCAGATGCTGCCTAGCCCATAAAAGCCGGACGTGCCTAGGATCTTGGCGAACTTCCACTGGTCCTGCACGTCGCCAGTGCGTGTTTCCCCCCCCCTTCCTTTTTTTTTTGTCAAGGCAGCAATGTCTATCTGGTAATGCCATCATATAATGCACCACTCCTTTCATGCCTCTTTGCTCAATATTGCTCTGCCATTTCGCTCTCCATTTTTTTTTTCAGAAATCAAAAATGAGAACAGAGTTAGGTATCAGCACCCCCGCAAGGTCTTCGTTGCATTGTTCGATTGAACTCTGATGCAAAATGAAAGTCTAATGGCATCTTCCAAGAAATAAAGGCAGAGAGAGAGCCTGCAAAGGGTACCTCTGCAGCGATACTTCGACTGGGATTGGTTTGTTCCTCAAGTAGCTATCGATGGTCATCCATTGATTTTTGGAGGATGGGACCACACGGGTACCATCTGGTCGTTTATGATATATTGTAGTCAAGAAAATGAAATGAACAAGACGAAAACAACTTTTTACATCAGACAAAAATGAGAGGAATAAACCAAATGAGGAGGGCGTTGCAGTATCTGTGGATCGATCATTATCTTCAATCCGGAGAGGCGGTAAAATGGGAGCCATGGAGCCATCCAGCGAGACCGAGTAGAGCCAAGAGGGAGAGCATCGATGGAGCCCATTTAACCATGAGATGGATACGAAAGGAAGAGTTGAGGGAGCAGGAGCAGGACGAGGATAAAGTGAGTGGGCGATGCAGCTCCTTCAGTCGGAGTGGCGGTGTCCTGTGGATGCAAAGAAACGGAAAAAGAAAAGAAAAAAAAAGTGTTCAAGCAAAGACTGGGGACGTCAGTGTCAGTGTGAGAAGCAATCGGATTGCACATCGTCGTGTTGTGCTTCAAAATCCGCTCGCAGGAAAACCGCCACCCCCAAATGAAGTACCAAAGGATCCGTCCAGAAGCCTTTGCATCACTTCGCGCTTGTGTTGCTCGTCTTGCTTCTTCTTCTCGGGGCTGTTGTCGGACCCTCCAGACTTGGCACTTCGGATACTGGCGGCGTCAGATTGGACCGACATACCCATGTTGCCAAACTGCGGGGCCCTCTTTGAGCTACTAGCGTTGCTATTGTTGCTGACTGCAGTCGTGCCTGTGATATTCGAGCGGATACTGGCTACGGAACTTGACACGTTTGCGGACGTAGCCTGTTGAGCAGCAGCCTTGTTCTTGGATCCTGCGAAAGAGAAAAACGACTGTTTGGCTGCTGGGGCTGACTTTGGAGGGTTTGCTGCTGGTGGTGGTGGTGAGGCTGGAGGTGGCGTCAGCGGCTCTGTATTCCAGTGCTGGGGCTGCATTGCTCCCAGGAGCGAGCTCCTGTTCCTGACCATGGGATGCGGTAAAGCTGTTCCCTGAGATCCATTCATAGAGAGACGCTGGTAGTCCGGTGAAGTCGGGTTAGATCCTGGGGACAATGGGGGCGGTGGTGTAGGCTGGAAGAGGCTGTGGATATTCTGCTGCTGTGACATATAGGGATTTGATCCGTAGGGTCCTGCACCATGATCATCACTTTGGTCGTGTGCACGCCATGCGTGCTCTGCTGAGATGCTTTGACTCTGTGCCTGTTGTTGCTGAAGTTTGAGCTGTTGCTGCTGAAGCATCTTCTTGGCTGCAATCATGACCTTGAGAGACCGAATCTGGAGTCCTGTCTGCTGAGAGAGTGCTGCGGTTTCGTAGACCATGGCTGCGGTGGACATGTTAAGCATTTGATGGAGAGCATGTGTTGCAAGATCGCGGAGGCGGTCAAGACCGTACATATCTGCGAGCAGCAACAATTGCGATAAGACCTGAGAATGATGCTGTTGGGCAGTTACTAGATGGTCCGTGTAAAGATACTGTAGGAATGCCAGAACGACTGTATACGGCTCCGGGAGGGACAAGGTCTTCTTTGCAAATAGCGATGGGTCGTAGTCGTTATTCTCTTCAGTGTTTCCCGAGTTTGCTGCCGCGTCCAGTTCCTCCTGTTCACGCAAAAGCGCCCCAAAGTAAGGCCAACGAGCCGCTAGAATCGAAGAGTTGACTGGGATACGCTGGCCATCGATGGTCAAGATCTCAAAGTCGGCCATTGCCGGATCATTCAGCAGCCCCAATCCCAACTCCTGTGCAGTTTGGGTCATCGTCGTGGGTGGATGCTGGTAGATACCAAATGCTTCCAGGTCGACAATGGAGACATGCTCAAAGTTGGTCTGGCGATTCTGGTAGTCGTCTGCAAGGCTCCTGTTCCTGTTTCCAAAGACAAGGTATGCATTCGAAGACTCGAGCAGCAAACCTCGGTTCCATGAGCCAGAGCTGAAGACAGAGCCGGTATCGATGCGGGTCCAGACCAGGCTTGAGAGATTTAGGGACCAGATGCTGAAGGACTGCTGAGTATTGGTGAGATAGGTGCCGGAGAGAAGCAAATGTTGTCCTGCGATGGCGCCTGTTGGGAAGCGAAGGCCGGGTGGGAGCAAGCTGCCAGACATAGAGTGCGAGTGATCCTGAATCTGGAACTGAGGTGGGCTGAGAACCTGGAGCTCGCGCTTGACGTCTGTGAAATTAAAGTTCGAGTACAGGTAGATGGGATGCTCCTCCTGCTGGACCGGCGTGGATGTCATAATATGAGAAAGACGGTAAATCGACGAGCGATTTTCCGAAGGAGGCGAGCTGCTGAAGTTGCCAAAGCTGCCCGCCCCACCGGAGAGACGTGACATAGGACCTCCCTTTTTGGTGAGTGCCAGGTTGGATGAACTCTTTCGAAGCGAGGGCGTATAGTGGAGCGTTGAGTTCGAAGAGGCCTTGCGAAGATAGGACGTCGGGAAGCCGTCTGCAGACGTGGGCGAGAGCGGGTTTGGAGAGGTCTGGTCAATCTCGCTTCCAATCTGAGGGATGGCGGACCCTTGGCCACTACCACTGACCGCAATGGAACGGTAGGATCCACAGTGCTTGTCGAAGGGCATCGAGGCAACCCACTGCCAGCTATCAAGGTCGAGAACATTAATCTCTTCGATGTATTGGTTGCCGATATCCTGACCTCCGATGACAGCTAGCTTGCTGCCAGAGATGCTGGAGAGGTGCGCGTAACGGGGTTTAGGTGCATGGGGTGAAGAAGGAATGCGAACCTGGCGCCACTGCAAGAGCTCGAGATCTAGCACCTTGATGTCATCAAAGACAACTAGGTCCTGTTGCTGGCCGTCAATCGTGGAGAGGGAGGGGCCCATACCTCCAAAGAAGACGATCATGTTCTTGTAGGGGTTTGCCGAGTGGAAATATCTCTCTGTGGGAGGAGGCGACATCTCGTTCTCGTCCTCTGCGCCGGGATCGCCGACGGGCAGCTGTGTGGGCATAACATTGACAATCTCGGAGACATTCTCCCAGCGAAACTCGTCGAGATGGAGTATAAAGAGCGAGTTGGTCATCTGTCGTGTCTGGATCAATCGACCTCCAAAGAGGTATAATTTATCATCGACGATGGTCATTGTCGCGCCGACGAGGGGAGGGGGGATGTCGCCCGTTGTGATACGGGACGTTGTGGTCAAGTCCGAGATGGACTGGAGCCCCGGCGCTGGTGCTGGCATGGTGGATTACTGTGATGAATGCTGTTGCTGTTGCTTATGCTGATGCCGGCTACTTGTGAGTATATCGGATGTCCTGAATGACCGGTGGATTAAAAAAAGACGACCAATGTTTGTCCTCTTGCCAAAAGAAAAAAAAAGAAAAAAAAAAGACGTGGACTAGAAGGACGACAAACAGAGACGATCTTCCTTTTCTCGAGTGGGTGCGTGTATCTGTTGTGCGACGTGAGCGAGGGTGGTCCCTTGGCGATGCGTGTCTGGATGGAGAAGGGAGGGTGGGAAGGAAAATCGATAAGCAAGATGGAAAAGATATTCCTGTTAGTAAACAACAAGAGAGCGGACAAAACGCGAGAGAGCTCAAGCAGACCCCGCCCAAACAAAGAGCCGCAGCTGAAGAGAAGAGTAAGAGCATGGCGCCAAAAGGGCTTCTTCTGAAGGAGGTTCGTTGATCCCGCAGCAGCAGCGATCCATTGACGGACATCATTTGCTGTTGTTATCCAGAAGAGAGAAGTGGAATTGAGAGTTCATTCAAGGACGAGAAACCCATGTAATAAGCACCTCCAGTGGGGGAGGAAAGCTCTTTCGCTGCCGTTGTTCAAGATGCAGAAGGAGCTGTGGGGGCATCAGGGGTTGGGGGAGTGAAGGGTGATAGGGAAGGGAGGATGCTCTGCCACCAATCCAGGCACCATGGCACCTAGATTGGCACACCAAAGTATGTGCAATTAGCACCGCAGTCTGCAGTTCCATGTGTGCGCTTTAGTCTCACACCTGCCCTTTTTCGGCCCTTTACTCTTGTCGGTTGGTGTTGGGAGGAAAAAGAGGAGAGAGCCCCATCAGCTTATCCTTGTCTCTTTGCAGTGCAGTAGGCGCTGATGGCTCACTCGCGCGTGGGGTTTCAGCTTGTTGTTTTTTTACCTTGCCCCAAGGCGTTGAGTGTCCTGAATGGGACAATGAAATAAGGGATGATGGGGATGAAATGAGGAAACAAGAGAATGAGTGGGAAGGGAACGTGTACTAGAGAGGGTGGATTGAGGGCTGAGGAAGGGAAGCAAGGGCGAAAGGAGGCGTGGGTTGGGGAGGGGGGAAGAGAGGGAGAGGGGTGTGGGGAAGGTGGAAGTGTGGGATGGAAGGGATGAGATGGCGAGAAGAAAAAAAGAAAGAGAAAAGATAGCGCCTTTTGACTCCATTGAATGGTTTAACAAACGCATCCGTCTTGTGGTGCAGAACTCAGTGCCTGATATCCCAGATTTGCCGCCGAACAAGGCGGCCTCGCAATTTTGCTTCTTTTTTCTTCTTGATCGTTTCTTTATCTCAAGCGAGAGAGCAAAGATAAAAAACGAAACGACGTCGACGTCGGGGGATGTGAACGATGGAAGACCTGAAAAGGGCGACAGCGGCAGATTGGTGGGCAGAGGCGAGGAAAAGAACATCAGTCCTCCTCTTCCTTGGTGTCCCTTTCTTCTTGTCCCCAACAACCCCCCGCCCTGCCCTTCAACAATTGATCAAACTATTGCTTGAGGTATTTTGTATTTTTTTGCAAAGGCAAATCGGCCCAGAATCAGAATGCTTGATTCTCGGCATCTTGCTCTTTCATTTAACGGGCTTGCTCTCCAACTCTTTTGGGAGTGCTCACCACTTGCGGGTTTGCCGTCGTGGCCATTGGTTGATGCTGTGTCGATGTAAGAAGTCTTGGATTGCATTTACGCCTGAAAGGATACAGCTTCAGCATCATACCGATCTAGCCCTTGGCCGGAACCTTTTTTAATTGCATTTATTGCAATGAATCCATGGGTGACCATGGGTGGAGACAGCACCCTCGCAAATCCAGGTCAAAAAAGAGCAGATGTGGCGTATACACGCCATTAATATTTCTCCCGCCCTGTCCTTGCAGCTCCAGGGGCATTGCGATCCCTTTTTTTTTATTTTATTTTTCCATGGCAACGTGTTGCAAATGGCTCAGCAGAAGTAGTTGAACCAGCCTATTCTTGAATCTGCGATGGACTTGTTCATATGGACTCCCTCCCTCTCCTTACAAAGTATGCAAGCTGTTAACGATTATGGCCTTAACAGATTGGACAATCAAGATGTTCTGCTTTCGATCGGGTCTAGACAACCGAGGGGCATCGAGCGACGATGCCATGCGACCCTTATTATTATTTCTTTGTAAACTCTATAGCAAGCGACATCAAAAAACACACTCGGAACAATAGGTCCAAGTCGCCTTTTCTTTGTTCTTCCCGCCTGTTCACCCACGTTGCTATCACGACGATCACGCAGATGCTTTGTGCGACCAAGCGCTCTGCTGGCCATCTGGAACAGAAACAAACCTATCCACACAGAAATGAAGCCTATTGTCCAATAGTGATATGTATATTATTTTTATTGCCAAATTTGCCAAAACTTGTCATATGCTACCTACGATCCCGACCCCTATCGATTGGAGTGCGAGAGCGGGAACGATCCTGACGTCTTGGAGGAGAATGCGATCTGCTGTATGATCGTCGTATCGGTGAGACAGACCTACTGAGAGGACGTCCTCTTGATCCATCGGGGGAGTGAGGCCCTGTTTCCTTTGAGCGACGGTGTCTGTAAGAAACAGGAGAACGCGAACGGGACCGCTCCTCGCGTCGAGAAGTTCTGCTTCGTCTGCTACTGCGTTCTCTATACAAAGTAATGCAGGATATAGCAAATGTCAGCTACGATAAAAAAAAAAAAGACAAGGCATTGCTCTATAAACACCAATTAACATCAACAGCAGCCATTGCAGGCGCTCCGTACCTTGATTTAGATCTTGAGCGCGATGGAGAGCGAGAATCTGAACGAGATTGCGACCTTGGACGACGATCCTCTTTCTTTGAAGCCTTGTGGTTGCTACGGCTGCTTCTCTCTCGAGAGCGATCTCGAGAGGAGCTACGGCGATTCCTGTGACTCCTGTGGCTACTTTTGGCATGCCTCGATGAAGATTCCTTCCTGTGATGCTTTCTCTTTCTATGTCGGCGATCATCTTCTGAGTCTGAAGACGAGTCTGAAGCGGACTCGCTATCACTGTTACTGCTGCCACTGCTGCCACTGCTGCTAACGCTGCTTTGCCTCTTTTTTTTTCTTTGGGAGGAGGAGGTCTCTGTTTTACGAGTCGATCCAGATCCTGATTCCCTTCCAATGCTCGGCTGTTTGCCCGCAGAGGATGATGCTCCTGTTCCAGAAGGCGAGGGCGATGAAGTAGGGGAGACACCAAGCTGCCTTTTCAGGAACCCGAACCGTGAGTTGCTCTTTGGCTTTTGTGCGGGTTCATCCAGCTTGATAAGATTGCGGCATTCAAAGGTCAAGTGCCCGCCTATAGGAAGAGCAGAGAGACACAGGCGCTTTAGTATGCATAGCCTGATTGTCTGTTATGCATCGCCGACCGTATGGAAAATAAACTTACTTCCACCGCACTTGCGGCATGAACCAGCGCGCACGCCTTCATCTGATTTGACGAGTCGTTCGAAGGCCTGCAATCCACGCTGGAATTCGGACATGGTGAGAGAGAGAGAGAGAGAGAGATGCGATGTGATCGCTCCGTGTCTGTACAATGCACGTCACCTAAAGCCAACAGATATTTTTTAGGAAGGAAAATTTCGAAAAAGACAACGTAGGTCAATAGATTTTGATTCTCTCGACAGAGCAGCGTTGTCCGCATGTCGAAAAGACCAGTGGATCAAAAGTTGTAGGCATTGGAGGTTGTTCTTGATCCACTAGTCTCAGACTAGGCTCCAGATAAACCAGTCTCTGGTCATTGTCACAGCGGACAAACCAACAACACGCACTGGCGACAGGCGCAACTCTCTAGAAACGCCAGAGTAGATCATCCCACATAACGCAGTCAGGATGCTGAACCAGAGCTATAAAGGTTCTCCACAGACTGGTACACAAATTAAAAACGCAGAACATAGACACGGCCGGCAACACCTGGCGTGTGCTGTGACTATGTCGTAGACCAATGTAGCAGCACCGATATGTTGGGGAAGGGTGTCCATCAAAGCACCTCCGAAATAGCAACTCTAGCTAGACCTTTAAACATCTCCACCGAATTTGAAGAGCACAAGAAGACGAGCTGCTCCTCAGCACTCCAGGGTCTTTAGATGAACAGATGCGGCGTTTTTTAAATATCGACTATTTGTGTAGTTCTTAGAATCTGGGCTGTGCTAGCATCCTTGGTCTGGCCTTCAGATCCGGAACGACCCCCTTCTGGAGCTACTCGAAGCTCAGTGTGGCTTTAAGGTATTCTGTAACCTTTTTGTTTGCATCAACGTCGAAGGCCGGCACCCACTTTGCCACACCACTACCACTCCTCTGCAAGATCTGATACCCCCTCTCACTGCCTTCTCCTCGGTGGCCAATGATCTTCTCCACCTCATAATCTCTGTCATCATCCCCAGAGATCATGTCAGCGTCGGCAGTTTGTGTCTGAGAAGAAATGGCCATATCTAAGAAAGCCTTCCGCGTAGCAAGCAAAGCTTCACTCTGTGACAGTTTGACTTTGATATTCGGGAGGGTATACATGATCTCTAGATTCTCTGTCTTACTGGGATAATCAAAGCCATCCTGAACCCAGAACATGTGGTGCTGTTCAGTGGGGATATCCTTCAGTGCTGCAAACCTCTTGATGTTCAGCAGTAGACACGCCAGCTTGTACTGAAGCCCAAATGTATCCTTCTCTGCTACCTTGTTCACTGTAACGGAAAGGCAGTCACTAGATCAGGTACAGCCGGACACCCGGCTGGCTCCTGTTTTTATTTAACGAAGAAACCCAGATCAATAAACATCACCTTTCTTTCTCGTTAACTCACACTCCAAAGTACTGCCTACCCGTCGCATTCACTACCGTGTGGCTGAACTTAGTGAACGTTGACTGCATCTCCCCGAAATGGCCCTCTATCTTGGAACGAAAACTTCCAAAGATGTCGTTGTAGGACTTCTCCTCATCAGTCAGTGCTATCCCGCGTGTCTTGCGGATCGGATAGCAGAAGTTCTCGTACTGAAGCTCGTCCGAACTGTCCAGCAACTTATTGATGTACAAATTGTACCCGCCATCCAGTGCATTGCAGTCTAGCTTGTTGATCTTGGATTGGATGCCCATGCGTTGGAGCATTGTCCCGTCATTGTAGTCTCGGCATGGTGCGGGTGCCGACACAAATAGGGCCATGTTGTTCATGTCCGTGCACACTTGCACGCGAAATCCCGACTTCTTCAGCTTGTATGAATACATGCTAGCTTTGTCTGCGTTCACATGCGTGACCCTTGAGTCATGGCCATCCAGGTTGAGTGTCACATTCTTGAATGGGTCAGGGTTTCTTTGGGCAGCAAGATGACGCGACTTCAATGTAGAGAACATCTTGGACAGCATTGTGGTTAGAAGGCGATTGAGTGCATCAGGGTTATGCATGTAGAATTCCTTGTGAATGGTGTGGAAGGATGTCTTTGGGATGTATTGTGCCATGTCGCTCAAGGAGACCCCCTTCACAAGCACATAGAGGAGTATGATGCCCTTCTCGACGTTCCTGTATGGGCACGAGTATGCTCTGGTGCCGAAGATCATGGTCAAGAAGAAGAACGCAGGTATGACACCCAGGCGATTCAGCACGACCGTTTTGATGATGTCTATATCTTTCACAGCAACAAGCTCTGTGCGATGGTGCTTCACTCTATCGATGATGGGCCAGTCCGTGTGCAGGAACTTCCAGTGATTCAGCACGATGGCATCATTTTCAAGTGCTTCCTCCATGATACTTCCTTCTATGAAGTGCAGAGACGGTGTCATTTTTTAAAGGCCCTGGGTAGCCCCATGAATTCAGCCCTCTCTTATTGACCGCCCTCTCTAGTTGCATGGGAGCCAACTTGCAGAGTTATTATAGAAGAAATTTGCAAGTTAGCTCCCGGCAAATCTTTTAGCCGGAAGGTGGGTAACCGGGAAATCAGCAGGGCTTTGATAATCCCAATAGATATATAGGAAATGGTTGATGTTTGCACCTTTGAGTCTTTATTAGATCCTAATTTTTTAAAGAAAGCTAGAGCAAGAGAGTGAAATATATTAGCAGTTTATAGGTCTGAAAGATAAGTGAGAAAAAGATGTGTCTCCACACATCACACACATTAGGTTTTTATTGAGGCTCGTTAGCTGGTGCTCAGCCACAGGGACATGATATCTGAGATAGGCTAATTACTGGGGACCCATAACCTCAAATCGAACCTACTGAACTCCTATGAACTTCTACTGAGTATGCGACAGCAGTCGATGACTATGAGGTTGTTCGCATGGCCGCACAGGATACCGTAATTCTGAAACTCTTTGTGCGCGACTGACTTTTCCAGCACATTCCAGCCTGAAATGCATGGACGTTTGCCTTCACACGGAAAGGTTATAAAGGCTGACATTGTTAGATTTTAGTGGTTTAGTGGTCTGTCAGGTCTGGAATGTTGGCTGTGATATTTGATCTAATTCCTTGATACACAAACGCAGTTCAAGCTCATTTTGTGTGGCGGTAACAGCGCTCATGTGTCCCAAAGCATTTTTCCAATTTTTATTATTTCTTTCTCGTATCTCTCCCGTTCACAAACTTCAACAACTGTAAAAGATTGGGAACAGGTGGAGCAGCTTTGCGCTCTGTTGGATGGATGTTATCTCGAGGTGACCGTGTTTGCAAACGCCGGTGCGCAGGCTCTCTAGGTGTGGGTATCGGGAAGGCTGTGTTTATTCGAGAGGGTCTAAGTCTACTGCACAATGAGGGCATGCGTGTTGGTATACATATGGGGAGTGCTAAGATAGGGTGCTGCATCCATGGGCTGACGGTGTGGCAGAGTTGTTCTGGAGGCGCGGTGAGTGGGAAGACATGGCGAAGTTGTGATACTGTAGCATTAGTCAAGGTAGTCAAATGTCGGCTATGTTGCAAAAGACCAAAGGCAAAAAAATATCGCTCCCTCCAGAAATGCATTGAAGTCGCATACACCTCTGCTCTTGGGCAACAACATCATCCCCACACTCTCCAATGGTCAACCAGAAGAGACATGAGGACGACTGACTGAGTAAACAACTCTCACGCACCACGCATAGATTGACAAACGACCCAGGCTCCAAGAGACAAAGACTAGCAGCTTAAGACTCATCCGGGCTGCACTTACTACACCCACTCATGAACACGACCAAGTATGCCATGGAATGGGTGGTGTCGCAATGCATTCCTGCTAATAAAATAGCCAAAGTAAGTCGCATACGCCTCTGCTCTTGGGCAACATCATTCCTCACATCCTCCAATGGTCAACCAGGAGAGACATGAGCATGACTGACTGAGTAAACAACTCTCACGCACCACGCATAGATTGTGAAGAGCTGACAAACGACCCATGCTCCAAGAGACAAAGACTAGCAGCTTAAGACTCATCCGGGCTGCACAATCCTACTACACCTACTCATGAACACGACCAAATGTGCCATGGAATGGGTGCTGTCATGACATTCTCAGAACCGGCGAGACACAACTAACGAGGGGGTACACAAGGGTGCAACACACCTGGGAATAGACCTTGAGTTTGAAAAATAGGGGTCGACGATTATAAAGTGGCAATAAGGAGGGGAGCGATAGAGTAAGATGAGGAGGAAGATGAGGAGGAAGAGAGGAGAACGATGACAGGACAATGGGCGCGAAAATTACGTCACCGAAGGCTGCCTCATGTCCTGTTTTCTGACGTGACGCAGTCGGTGACTACATTGAATCGTCCCTTTTCATCCACGCTTCGCTTCATACCGCACCACCAACACCTTCGCAATTGTCACTCCAGCGTCTTTATCACTCTTACGTATTTATCATCATCTCATCAACGCCACCGCTGCCAAGATCATTGTCGGTTCTCTTTTTCATTACCCTCTGCAATTTGCCTGCGATTCGTCATAGCCATTACTCTTTTTTTTTCTCTGCTTCTTTTTCTCTCCACTGTTGTTTTTCTTCAAACAAAAAGTCCTTCACACTCTTTCGGTCTCAGAATCATGCTTAAGGCAAGTAATCGTTGTATTCATTTCCAGTTTGTTCGTAATGAAGGCTGGCATCATTCTTTCGGTGGGACTTGGTGGGGGTGCCATGGAGACCACAATCTCCTATCCTCATACTCTTCTGAGCTCAATTTGGCGAGAAGAGATGTCCACTGGATGCACTGAGCTCATTTGGCGGGTGCATCAAGGTATAGTAGCATGCGCTGAGCTCTTTGGCGGGCGCATGCACCACGCAAATGTTGATTGATGTTTATTTATCGGTGGATGTTTATTTATCAGTGAGGCTTAGTGGGGGTGCCATGGAGACCACAATCTCCTATCCTCATACTCTTCTGAGCTCAATTTGGCGAGAAGAGATGTCTACTGGATGCACTGAGCTCATTTGGCGGGAGCATCAAGGTATAGTAGCATGCGCTGAGCTCTTTGGCGGGCGCATGTGTTACACTGACTAAAAACAATGGAAAGTATAGCTATATACTAATTACGACTTTCATGGTATCTCACGTAGACCCTGGCTCCTTCATACACAGGCGCTACCGTTGCCATCCCTGAAGGCGTGGAGACCTTCCATTATTTCAAAACCACCAATATTGCTGAGTGGAGCCTACAAGGGTTCTTAGCTGAAACAGGAAATGATGAAAAATCATTCCTTGCCTCTGTGAAGGATCTCTCAAAGTTTAAAGCGGTTCCAAGGGACGTTCGCCTTTTCGCCCATGCCCTGCATGATTTTTACAGTGGCACTTTTCGGAAGGAAGTTACAGCTATTGCCAAGGACCAGGCCATGACAAAAATCAATCGATTTTCATACTCTGTCAAAGAAAAATTGCTTGCTCAAAAGCAATATAGAGAAGATCTTGAACAGGACTTGGTATGAAGAAGAATATCACAGTTTCTTTTTTTTTATTGTAATGTTTGTGTTACTAAACCACGCTCTTGCCTTCCTTTGTTACTATACAGAACATGCGTGAGGACTTTGGAGGAAATGGACATGGCAATCGCGACAACTCTGGCGAGGTAAGCACACAATATCGAAGAAGAAATGGTTAGTGAGGAGGCAAACTATTCCTTGCCTTATTCTGTTCCTATCTACGCATGATAGCATATGTCTGAAGACACAGTGTCTGTGCTTGTTGATCAAGCCGACAACACTCTTGAACGACAAATTTCACAAGTCCAGGACGGTCTACCATCGTCGGCGTCCACGTCGTCATCGGTGAATGTCATTGGGGCAGGTAAGCACTTTTCTAGAGCTGTTGAGAGACTACTGCATTCCTTGCGCATTGACTTCTTTTGCACCTTTTGTTACCACTCTACTAGCTGGTCAGAAACGTTTAGGCGCTGTCCGTGTTGAACCGGAGGAGGCGCCACTTATAGCCCAACACAGCGCATTGGCTGCGCCTTTGCCCCCAACAGCTGCCATCCCAAAAATGTCAGTCGCAGGTGATACAGTAGCGAGCATGAGGGCAGGAGAAGCAGGACCCTCAGACGCAGGTGCTGTACTGCCGCCTCCCTCAAATGCTTCAACCACTCCTCCGGAAACACCACCATCCTTTGCTGCTTCACCTTCGTGTCTGGGATCTCCTCCCGCTTATTTTGGAGCTGTGAATCCTTCAAACACTGCCGCAACGGATTCGACAGCCTCGAATATCACTACGGGATTGCCATCCGACATGAACCCAGACACATCTCCAGGACCTGCCGAAATGGCTCCAACCGCACCACCACCAGATGATCAATCAACAATCAACAACGAGGAACGAACTATTCTTCTGTCAGAGATCGAGAAAATCACACACACTTGTCAGCCACAGGAGGGCGAGGCATGCTTGACTTGTCACTTCAAGAGATACCAGCGGCTTTGTGTGGACGCCCTCCTGAACACCGAGCTGAAAATCGCAGAGATTGCGGATGTTGTATCCTTGATCGGAATATTTGTGCCATCCAGACCCACCGAAAGGATGAAATCTGTTTTTTCAGATGAGGAATTGGAGGCGCTCATTAGATCAGGCGAGGTCACACATGAAGAATGGGACTCCGTTGAGTTTGACACCCTATTGCCAATGAAAGCCGTCAGAGTATGTTCAATATTGTTTATTTTTCACGCTCGTTTTGTGCAGGCTCATTAACGCTCTTTTCTCTTTTTCTAGCTTTGCCTGCAAAACCGAATGGAAGACGTGGCAGCGACTCTTGCGCCCTTGAATAAGGACAACAGACCTATCCGGATTATGCTGGAGACGCTGTATGGTTCGGTTACATATCACAAGACGCAATTGACACTGTGAAATTCAGCTGATTTTGTTTTTCTCTCTTCATTTCTCAGGCTAGAATATCTCCCCAGAAATGAAGACCGTTCCATTTCGGAGTATGATTACTCTGTCAAACACATTGGCCCAGTTCTGCAGGCCTTTTTTCAATCTAAATCCGCCACCACTCACTTGTAAGATGCACTTCAAACTGTTCTATTGATGTGTGGCGGAATTACTTCTCTAATCAAAGTCTTGATGATTTTTTATTAACCAATAGCCCAAATAAGGACTCCGCCACGCAAAAGAAACTGGGGCTTAGACCTGACCGACCGGACTTCACGGTCACTGTCGACAAGACAGAAATTGCCTGGGGTGAGATCTCAGGCCCCGCTCATGAGAACGACAACTGGAAGAACCTTTGGGATTTTTTCCGCGATCTACGCTACGGCAAGGCCTTTTTGGACTCTGGATTTAGAATGGCACCTCTCTTTCATATCGTCTACGAGGTTGGAACCTATATGCGATTACAAACCGAAACCCGAGGGATGTATGTCCTTCATGAAGTGGGCAAGTTCACTATCCCAACCACGACCGCCACGGTTGGCACCCTAATTGCAACTTTCCCCACTCTGTTTATCGCAAAGGTTTGTATTTCATATGTGCCAGAGTTTTAATCTCGTTTTGTAATGCTCTCATTGATATTTTTTTTGTTTCTCTGCTGTAGAGGGATATTGGGAATATCGCGAAAGGCCCACTGAACGTTCTCAAAAGGTCGTGGGGATATCAAGACCTGGACAAGTCCAAAATGGCTCTCGTCCAACGATCCAGTGGCCAGAAAAAGTAAGGAACGCCCGATATTTTGTTTTGCTGTATTGGCATTTAGCGCTATGGTTCTAATAGCAGCATTTTTAGGCAGAAGAGCACGCCCAACGATCCTGCCAACCCTCAACAAAACAACGACGACAGGCAGGATGACGCTGTGCAGGTATGATTATTCTGAAGTATTGGTCTGACTCTCAGTGAGGCACAACACGTTTGAAAGGGTTCACATACGGCGAGTGCCAGACAAGTAAAGAGGTTCGCAGACAACTGATGCCTCTCTTTTTTTAAAAAACATTAGTCAGGCTACCTGTCGGTCGCAGATTTGAGCTCTCTCTGATTGTTGAACACCTGTGATGATCCCCTATTTCATTTGGTCACCCACATCCCTTTCACTCTTACTCACTAGCGCACTCACTCTTACTAGCACTCTCACTCTTACTAGCACTCTCACTCTTACTCAGCATTCTCACTCCCATTCTTACTCGCACTCTCCCACTCTTACTAGCACACTCAAATAAAAAAAATGCAAAAGCTGGAGCTCTGATCGCTGTTGCGATGTGACCCAGTTTGTGTGCCTTGCCATTCGTTGCAATACCGATATTTTTTTTTAGACAAAACGCGTACGTGACCCAGAATGCAACGCACAACATGTAGCTTTGATGCGTCTGCTGGGCCGCATTTTTTTATCGAGAAAGAGATATTTAGTCTAAATCTAATGTACAATGTGGGATGCGTTTGGTATATATGCAGGAAGTGCTACGACAGGATGCTATGAATATGGTGTCGGTAAAGCCCTGTCTATTAAAATGCACCAAGAGTCAGGAACATCGAATGTTTTTGTTGAAACGTGAGTCTTTATTGGCTTCCAGCTTCTTGAGAAAAAAACTAGAGACTCCCCTGAGTATGGGTGTTGTAGACAATGGCGATATACTCAATCACGTCGTCCTCGGTGTGACCGTTCTTGAGCGCGAAGTTGCGGCGACTGAACTCGATCGGCGCATCCTTGTCGTCCTTGATATGCTGGTAGACATGGTGCCCTCGAGGAGAGCGATCGAATCGCAACTCGTCCATAATAACGGCATCGAGCTCCGGATTTTTAGCAATAAATCGCTTCAAGCTGCGCTCAACATCCTTTCGCTGCCGCGTGAAAAGTTGGTATCCACCGACGGGCAATGGCTGGGGCGACCGGAACTTCAAGACAACAAAGACCTCCTACTATCTGTCTGGGCGCGCGAGGACGCGGTCGAGGTTGGCTGCTTGGCGCGCACGCTCGGTGTTGGCAAGAGCATCACGAGTGTTTTGCAGCTCGAGTTGAGTCTCTTCGAGCTTGGCCTCAGTGTCCTCAAGCTCTTCCTGTGTTGACGCAAGGCTATCGTTAGCCTCCAGGAGGTCCAGCTGTGTGTTCCTGAGGTCCAGTGAAACAGCCTCCAGATTCTTGCGCAGTGCCTCAATAATAGCCTCCTCTGACTTCGGCTTGTCTATGAATGGAGGAACAATGGTTGACAGGTGTGCTTCTTCAGTACGCGGTTGCAAAGGTCAATGGCATGCAGGTCGGCGTGTTATGCTCGAAAAAGCAGGACATACTGACGGTCATGGTGGAGGAAAGCAGGAAAAAAAGGACTGAGTGAATGGGTGAAGGAAGGAATGAGAGGATGAAGGGAATGAAATGGGGTTGGCAGGCCCATTTGTAGGGCATGGGTGCCGCAGCATCCTTGGGGAGAGGAGTGATGAGATGAGATGCGATAGATGAGATTGTGATTGCTTTTTTTTCAAAAATAAAAAAAAAAAAGGTGCAGTCTCAATCCTGGTCCAGTCAAATAAAAAAAAAAGGACGTATGCAATTAGAGGTTGGTATTGTACTGTACATGTACAAGGGAGAATTCACTCAACCTGCGCACCCAAGTCCACACAGTCCTGCGCCATTGCATTTATTTCCTCGCCGCTACTTCCCCAACATTGGCTTTTTATCCGCCCTACCAGATGAGCTCAGCTGTTCACAAACTCGCTTGGCTCCCTTCACACAATCGAGTAAGTCCACAACTCCTCCAGGCACAAAATCCCGCATATTGCTCCCGTCAATAACCATAAGGAGCTGCATCAATGGCACGTTGCCATCCTGGCAACGACCGGCTCCAGTCTCGG